GTGGAGATAAAAGGCAGCAACAATATACTGATAAATCAAAGGCCTTTCAAGTGAAATGAGACTACAGAGAGTCTGAGGGCTACGTTTACGACTGCCTGATGCTCTTAAAAAGGTGTTGATATCTAATTGGAATTTTTAAAGTAATCGCATCTTTGAAGTAATTATATCTTTGATGTAATCAACAAACAGGAGATTTATTATTCATTGCTGCTGCAGTTGGCATTTGACAGTGGACTTCTTCATGCGTATGTGTATGCTTACATGACTAATGTATGTATAGTGATATACAATATACTGTGACTCTCTTAATGTAGCCGGTGTATAAAAGGATCAAAAAACAACCAATGAGCAACAATTTCATTTTCAATTCAATCTTTATTTAAAAGACATTGTAGAACTTTATTTAAAGGTACCCTGTGGAGTTTTCTTGTAAACAAACAAAGTTACACTTATGTTCAGTTCTTTCACTTTAAAACACATTGTGTGTGTCCTAAAGGTCTGACAAACATAATGGCATTTCTGTCCTCATAAATATTATTGCAAAGCTTTTTTTTTTCTTTTTTTAAAATACTTTAAATTGTGCATTGTTTACATTAATACTTTTTCACTGCTTTGTTGGTGCATTGTTTTGTATGTGCATTACCGCCAGCAACTGTTGATCAGCAGAATAGTGTGAAACCGGTGGCCTTGATGTTTATCAAGTCACAGCAATATTTCATGACGTGCCAAAATCACTCAAGAGTGGCACCAAGGTCAACACAGCAGGATGATACGCTAGTCGACAGCAGAATTTATACAGCGAGATGCTGTGCTAGAGTTGACTTTTGCAAAAAGTTACTTTCAGCATCTTCCTCCTTTTTTCATTTTGAAGAGGGAATTTAGAAACATTATTAGATAGGCCTCTGTCTTATTTTCCAGCATCAATGCATGGACGTAGATGTGGGTCTCTACAGTGCTTCCGGTATGGGTTGCACATGCATCAAATGGCGCAAATACCACATAACATGGCCGCCGTGTGTATGTGTGTGTGTGTGTGTGTGTGTGTGGGTGTTCAAGGTGGCGTTTATCCTTGTCAAAGTAATATCTTTTAAAAAATCCAGATTTTCAGTGCGACTCAACAGTGAATACAGATGTGGCAGAAGCAGGATTATCAGGGAATATAGAGAGAAAGGAATTTGTGGAATTTTCTCACCTGTGTTTATCTGACCAATCACTGCAGAGGGTGAGTGTGACCGCCTTATTGTACGTTTGAGAAACTTACACAAATAGGGTGACACAGATCCTCCGTCTGAACATCTCAAAAGACATTTTCACCCCGTTCAGACTGTGCTAACAACACTTCTGACATGTTGGGTCTTCGTGCTTCTTATTAAAAATAAATAAATCAAGGTTCAGTCGGTCACAGTTATAAACCCTGTATTTACTATTGATTTGTACTATGAAGTTATTCCCTCACGATTTATGTCATTCTGCAAGGGTGGGTAACTCTACTCCGGCAAATTAAAGGGTGTGTGAACACTTTTCCCTCATCTGTGTGTGCCACCTCGTGTGTGTGTGTGTCTGTGTGTGTTTGTGTGTGTGTGCACCTGAACATATGTGTAAGTCCTCTGGTTTCATTTGTATCAAAAACCGAGCTGTGTGTGTCCGATTCAAAGATGCTGTGTTATTCGATCTTTTGCAAGTGTGCGTGTGTCTCACTCGTGCATGTACACACTTGTCTGTTCCAGCTAAGGTTAATTATGTGTAAGTTTTGTGTGTGTGTGTGTGTGTGTGTGTGTGTGTGTGTGTGTGTGTGTGTGTGTGTGTGTGTGTGTGTGTGTGTGTGTGTGGTGGGGTGAGGAGGGGTTTTTTTTTTTTTTTTTTAAATACAGAGGGGTTGATAATTATGGGTTAAATGAGTGCTCTCAGTCAGCCTCCCTGAGTGTGTGTAAAAAAAGGAAGGCGCAGCGAAAGCCACTTCAAGGCCGGCTAATTACCCCGAGGAAGAGAGGAAACATAAATGGACGATTTTGCGGCTATAATGTTACAGCAAAACGGCTACATCAACCTCAGCACGTGAAATGGAGCCACAGCTACGTTTGAAGACTCCTAGCAGCCCTGCACAGATGTGTGTGTTTGTGTGTGTGTGTTTGCATCCATATGTACAGAATCTGTCGAGAAGCAGAGTAGGTGTGTATGCATGTGTCTGTACATGTAGTGTATAAAGAATGTGTTAACCAAGTGTGATTTGTGTGCAGTAGTTCACATTTGTGTATTCTGTATGTGTGTAGCGGTAACATCTGCTCTATTGTGTGTCTCATTGAATGCTGATGTTTTCCAGCTACATTTCTTTTATTCATTTATTTATAATAATGTGAAAACTGATAGTTGCCTTTGTTCTGTCATTACATAACACAGCCAATGGATCCGTTATATTCTCAGTTAGGGCTGAGCAGTATATCGACTTTTTAAGGTATATTAATATATTTTCAAACAAGATATAGGGTGAGACCACACAGTTTATATCAATACAGTTTGATGTTACATAACTCGTTTCTTCTGTAAAGCTGAGCTAGTGTTTGAATCTCTTCTCCTTCCCTCTCGCCATGAAACCCCTGCCCCCGCTGTCCCTCTGCATCTGCACTCAAACCTGGCCTCACTTCCCAGCAGGTCCACCTACAACAGCACCAGTCTACACTACCCGAGAAAACCTTTTATAAAAAGAAAAATAATGGTTAGATTTAGAGATGAGCCCACTTTGAAGAAAATACCAAGAAGTATGTTGGATATCGCCATTAAACCTAAAAATACCAAGATACGGTTTTTGGTCCATATCGCCCAGCCCTATATTTGGCGTATTCTTAAAACCACAAGGCTCAGAGTATCTGATTCTACTTCTCCGGGTTATTAGGAATGCAGACCCACCTCATCTAAACCTCACCACGTCCTCCACCCCGCTCCCACACTGCCTCCTTCCCTGCACCCACCTCCCACCCTTGGGCTCTCCGGTACAGAGGCAGTGCGTTTTGTTTTCATGTGTCTCAACATTAAAAGCGGTTTAGCAGTTTGATCTTAGCTCCACAGCTAGCCGTGTAGCATACACATGAGAATTGGTTTGCGTGCGTGTGAGCGTGCGAGCGAGCATGCGTGCTTGTTTGGCCAGTGAGAGACAGTTTAGGATGATGGATAGGAAAGGAGCTGTTGAAAATGTGTGTGTGTTAATGTGGAGTGGAGTGTGTAGAAGCTCTGCCTTTAAGTGATAAGGTATTCACTTTGTAACTCAGCAGGAGGCCCAGCAAGTAACACCAGATCTGCCCCTCTGTAGTGCTGATGTTACACACTACACACACACACACACACACACACACACACACACACACACTCATGCAAGTAGACCAACACACACATACACATGCGCGCACAAGCACACACACACACACACACACACACACACACACAGGTTTGTCCATCTCAGTGTATAAAAGAAAATAACTTATACTTAAATAACACTTTTATCAGACATATTCATATACATGAAATATTCATATACATGAAAATCACTCTCAAGCTTTCGAAGACTTAATACAGTGTGCAGACAAATGCACGCACGCACACACACACACAAACACAAACACACGCTCACTCACTCACTCACTCACTCACTCACTCGCTCACTCGCTCACTCACACACACACAAATATATCCTTTCATGCACATCTGCACTCACACTCGCACAGAAAGACACATATTTATACTTGCCTCCCACAGAAACAATTACAGTGCCCAGTCCAGACACACGCACGCACGCACGCGCACACGCGCGCGGCCTGTTCCAAACACATGCAGTGTAACTTAGTCCAAGGCTGCCTGGTTAGCTGCCTCCAACACTGCAAACCGCTGTGACATATCGTATGTCAGCCAGCATGCTGTGAGCATTAGCAATAACTAGATTTCACGTAAGTTATTGAAAGCCATTTGTAAACAGAAACATGAAAGCAAACAAGCCCGCACGCAGCCTCACTTGATCATCAAAGGCTTATCGATCAAATGGTCCTCCTCCTCCTCGTCCTCCTGCTCCCTTCTCAGCTGAAAACCAAAGGGAGCAAAGTACAGCACATCTGTTTGTTCCAAACCATGTTTAAAATGTCCAGCTTTCTATCTTTCTTTTGTGTGTGTGTGTGTGTGTGTGTGTGTGTGTGTGTGTGTGTGTGTGTGTGTGTGTGTGTATGTGTATTCATTCTATTGGATTTTTATATCAGTGAGCAAATGTTAATGTCCCCACAAGTGTAGACAAATTCATAACTCTTCTGAGAGACTGACCTTGGCATCTTCATGTGTTTGTGTAAAACTGCACCTCAGTGGTTTAATCAAGAGAAGAAAAGAGAGAGAATTGAGATTTTCTTCTGAATCAGTTCATGTTCGTATCTGGTTGAAAGCATCTTGTAACATCTTTAAGCAAATGAAAGAAAAGAAAACGTGCATTATTGTCAGGTTCATTTATCATCGTCACGTTTTCTTTTGCTGAATCTGTGATCCTTCACGATTCTGACAAAAAATAATTATACAAATTATTCTACCTTCTTAGATAGAATTTTCTTATATCATCTTACATTCTGAATATTCTCTTTTTTTATTCAGTTATTGTAATCAGTCCTGCATCCTGGAATATCATATTTTTTATAATTTTACGCATTATATCTGTGACTTAGAACATTTCTCGCAAACAGTTGAATTGCTGAGATATGGGAAATGGGTCCCTCTGAAAAGGTGCTTCCAGTTTTCAAACGTGACTCACCTTTTTGATCATAGTTGCTGCATTTGCAGGTTTACACAGCATGAGGTGGTGTTAAAAAAAAAAAAAAAAAGGTTCAGCGAAACCCACTGCTTGCGTTTACCTATATATAAGTGTTTTTTACCCTGTAACCTCCTATCTCAATAACTTAGTGTGAAAAAAAATATAGAACATTGTACAAAGTCATTCTCATCTCAGTTAATTTTGTGTTGTTTTGTTGTGTTAACAGTCCAACAAAGTGTCGGTGGTGCAGCAGTCTCATGGGATGCACCCGCTGACGTCCCTCCTGCCCTACAGCAACGAACACTTCAGCCCGAGTCCTCCACACCTGCCCACAGACATGAGCCAGAAGACAGGTGAGAACACACACACACACACAAGAGGTTAATGTACACAGTACAGGCCTGTACTGTAGGTTTAGACATGGAGACACTGGAGAACACACACACACACACACACACACACTCGCACACAAGACAGAGATTCATGTACTCATAGACACACACAGTCGTCTTTACTGATGTTGAATTCTTGTTGAAAAACTGAATTACACACATTTAAGAGGTCTCACACAGACACACACACACGTATATACACATGCACAAGTAAACACAGACATACCCCAGACAGCTGCTGCGTTGTTGCTGAAATCTGTCTACACACTCACTCTTCTGTTTGTGCTGTCGACGCATCGTTCATCACTTCTACACAGATGCAGCACACGCACACACACACGTACATGCACACACACACAAACTCATTGCCTCATTCACCAGACACACAGTAGAGATGCAAAATAACAAATGCAATATATTCATATTCTTGTTTTCTCTCTCTTTCTGTTTCTTATCCCCTCGCTCTCGCACACACACGCAGTATTTGTTGGTCTCTACTCCCTTCTCCTCCCCTCACACATGGACACACACACACACACACACACACACACACACACACACACACACACACAAACACAGACAGGCATGCACACAGTGTGTGAAGTGGCAGCATCGGCCCCGTCAGCCTGTGGCGGTCCCACGGCTGCTCTGAAGTGGCCTGCTCCTCTGAAGGGACCGCCAGCCGCACACACACACACACACACACACACACACACACACACACACGCACACACGCACAAAGATGGAAACAATTAGGGTGACAATTGCACAAGCCATCGCAGCAGCACACACAAGGTTCTCCTTAGCAAGCACTGTACGTACAAACACACACAGTCCTCTGTTTGGAAGTCACAAACAAACACACCCGACATTTAATCACTGTAGGATTGCTGGATTTAGCCCCTGCTGGAGGCGGGGCTAAAAGGGTGAGAGTGTCTGTCTGTCTCACACTTTGCTCGACTATTGGCCCCTTATTGTTGACTGCGTTGAATGTATTCATGATCCCCAGAGGATGATTCACTATGAATTTGGCGACCTCATCGTGTCACAAGCCAACATAATTGTCACTGTCAAATCAAAACTTAAAAATATAAGAGGATTGTCATGGAATTTTTTTTTTTTTTCTTATTGTTCTGCTCTTTCTTTCATGAACGGCTTTGGCTCATGGCCATTGTATGGCAGCTCCACAGCCACTGAAATGTGAATCGGTTAATGGATAAATATGAAACAAATTGGTTGGTACAAATGCTGTGTGAGTGCAGTTTATTTTCTGTTTTCTTGTACACCTGTGAAACTACTGACAAGCATTGTTTAGAACTGGGATCAGGAAATTGTTGTTGTTGTTGTGTGTCAGTGTAGTCTAGACCAGTAGGTTCACATTCATTAATGTACATGTGCTGTGGGCTACATACAGAAGAAGCAAACCAGGAAGAGTACATTTACACTCCTATGAAAATAAAACCCATTAAAGTAACCAAGGCCTGTCCTCTAGCAACTAATATCTAATGCTAGTAATCTAATGGTAAGGTTATAATATCCCGCCTCGGTCAATACTGTGACCCACATCGGGTCAGCACTCGTCAGTTGAGTTTGACACCGGTTCTACACTGTATGGTTTTGATGAACTGGCATTTCTTTCAGGTATAGAAATGAATGTCACTTAACCAAAAATGAGAGCGAGAGAGAGAGAGAGAGATGGAGAGAGAAGGAAAAAAAGGCAGAAAGGAGAGAGAAATTGAGGGCAAGAGAAGTGGAAATTGCACACGTGGGTAAGCGAGTGATTGAGTGTATGTGTCTGTTTGTGTATGTCTGAACTAACAGAGAAATGAAACTAAGTAAGTAACTTTTATTTGGTGATTAATTGATGTAATTCTGTGGTTTATTAGTGAAATGTATGAAGTGCCTGCCACTGCAGACTACAGTTTCTGATACAATAAGAGCCAAAGTCCCATGTGAGTAGATCCAGCACAGATTATTCACACTTTTCTTCGTATTGAAGGGGGTAAAAGAAACCGAAATCATTTGTTAGCTGTTTTACCACCCAACATTTTCATATGGAACTTTGCATCTTCAGGGACCAGTTGTGTGTTTATTGATTTACATATAATCATGCTCAGCAACACACATATTTCAGAGTGCTTATTAGATTTTGAATTAAAAGTTGCTTCTCAGAAAATAGATGAACACTTCACATATACAACATACATACATACAACTGAATACAAAAGGTGCTGACACCACAAAGAAGATGAGCTAAGACGGGCTAAATTAAAGTGTGGACAGCATATTGTAACTCTGTCGAGTGAGATAGGTCACAGTTGAATACAGCTTACACCTATGATACAATGGGTCGTCCTCAAGAACAGCAGGAAAGTTTCTTAGTGTGAGTGGGATAATCAAAGGATTTTTGACAGTGATGATAACGACGAAAGCAAGTACTTCTATTCATAAAAAGGAGAAAATGGGAGTAGAGACACACGTTGAAAGCAAAATAATAGAGTGAAGAAAAACAGAAACAGGAGATAAACAAAAGTCTTTTCTCAGCTTTGATTAGATATTAGAGTCTGACCTCAGGCAATCTCCTGCCTACTGCGTCTGGAAATCCCCCTTTTCCTACAAACACACACTCCCCTTGTCTCGTCTAGACTGTGTGTGTGTGTGTGTGTGTGTGTGTGTATATGTGTGTGTGTGTGTGTGTGTGTGTCCATGACTCAGCCCATAATGACAGACTGAGCCACCTGCTTCTAACCCCTTGCACACAGACACACACACACCCACACACACACGCACTCTAACACCTGGCTGCTGCACATAACCTTTCTCACACCATCTCACCTGAATTCTGACTACATTTCCACGCACACGCACACGCACGCACACACACACACACACACACACACACACACACACACACACACACACACACACACACACCAGCCTACCTCACTCCTCACATCATTCATCCACTCGTCACAGAGAGGGAGCGGTTACCTCATCAGTGACGTCATTTTTTGCCACAACTATGTACCCCTCTGTCCTCAAACTGATCTCCTGCACCACTGCACTCAACTCAACGTGGATCAATTTGGCTTTGTACCTGCTGACAGAAATTGAGGGGTTTGCAGTATTGTATATCACATTTACATCGTGATGTCTACATAAGTGCTAAGTAATATGAAAAATGCATTTATTTATCTTAGTGTTCTGTGCCCAGTGCTTCTTTAATCAAACCTTTGTGATCTCATATAATATTTACCATTAACATTCCACCATGTTTGTTCATCCGTCAAAAATGCTTTTCTTTTCTGTGTGAGAACAGCAGACAGTCACTTAATCTATATCTCTTTCCTACCGTAACACACTCAATACTGTTGCCATCTAGTCGCTCCGTCTTCACAATAGTAGTCTGGAAAAATAACCTTAGACTTGTTGAATCTTGGTAAAAGGTAAAGTCTTCGATTATATTTCTGCTCAAAGTTGAAACTGCTCTTCCTTTAACCCCCGTCATTGTATGTTGAGCTCAGCGCTACTTCCTCTGTTGTTTCCATTAGCACCCACTCACTGTTTTCACTGCCTAAAAGTTACTGCACCTTAATAATGTAGGCCAGTGGAAAAAAAAGTAATTGCAGAAGTTTTGGCAAAGTAAAGATTTTCCTGATCCCAGTTCTAAATTTAGCAGCAGTGCATTTACAAAACATGACAGTGGAGGTTCAGACGCTGTCACACCTAAGCCCTGCTTTACGCCATCACCTCAACGATACAGCAAGAGACTTAAAATAAGAGACTTACACTGACAATGACAGGGATGCAAGGATGCTAGTTTCCATGGTAACCATGGAGCTTGGTAACAATTTCTTTCTTTCTTTTTTTTTTTCTTTTTCTTTCATTCCTGTTTTTGTGTTCTCATGCAGCCACACTAGTTAGATCACAGCCAAGTAAAAACTAACTGATATCACTGTTAACTCTGACAACAGTGCAGAGCAGGACAGCAGTGATGGTTCAAATCCAAATCACAGAAAACATATCTGCTGTAGTGTTCCTGACATTGGATTGTTTTCATACATATTGTAAACATATATCATAGACTGTCCTCAGCCTGTGCATATTCTCATTTGTCCAGGTCATAGTATCCTAAAGGAGTTTAAATCGAAAAAACAACTGGACTGATTATTTGTCTGGGAAGACGTTTCACCTCTCATCCAAGAGGCTTCATCAGTTCATGTACGCATCTGACCAGGCTGGGACTGATAGACTGTCCTATGTCATATCTCTTCAAGTTGATATAATTATGGTTGATTATTTCCTCCAGAGCAGAAAAACTTAAAACTTTCTTGTATTAAGGCAGGTCTAGGTGTAAGTTGTAATATACAGGATAATAATAATCAACATCATTATTAGTTTTATAAAAATAAAAAAAACTTGATTCATATATTGTCTTTCATACTCAAAGTGCTTTTCTTTGAAAGAAAAAGAAAGAGCAGAATCACTAATCTAAGGCTACGCACAGCTGTAGTGTCCTCCTGTCAGGTTGTGTCTGACGTGTGACCCAGCTGGTCAGTCGGTTTAGTCATTTCTCCTTTTAACCACACGTGAACCACTTGTGTTTCAAAAGTGGAGCTGTTCCCAGTTGATTGAGCACCGCCACATTGCTTTGACTGTTTTTCAGATATGACTGTTTGCTCGGACATTAGAGCATAAACTACGGAGCGAAAAAGCAGAAGTGAAAGGTGTCTGCTCACTCTCATACTGTAATGTACAACATTAACACTTGCTGTGTCGTCTCGTATGCTCTCATGATATTACGTGTGAAAACGGAGAGTGCAAAGTAACTAGCTGCATATAGCATGCATCAGTTTAACTGAGCAGATTTTTGGTTTGCCACTGTATTTTTATTTATTATTGTTACATCATTACTTGAAAGATAAATCTGTTGGTTTCCTGTATTTTTCAAAATGTCAAGAAATCCATGAAAACCTTGAAAAGATCAAAATCAACAATGAATTGATTTTAGTAACAAGTGTATCCAAAGCCTGATATATCTTTTTCTTCTGTTTCATAGAGCTTTATTGTGCAAAAAATATTAAAACCACACACCAGTGAAGCACACTGTTGCACTGGGTGAAATATTTATTCATTACTATCAACTCAGACACTAAGTCATTCCCACATACACAGTCTGCTGTTGTAAACAAACACTGAAGTACCAAGTTTGTATTAATCCGCAGCTGAAAATGGTCCCGAACAAAAACACAATTTATTCATGTTGGAGTAATATTTTCTAAAAACTCAAGTGTCCAGTTGTGTTTGTTTTTTCTTAAATTATATATTTGTGATACATTTTGGGCTTAGTGCATTGTGGGGCAGATTAATGCCTTGTTGGTTTGGGTCCTTTCATGATTTGGTTTGACAGTAAGAAAAATACAGAGGTGTTTTTTTATTTTTTATCTTTTTGTAAGTATAGTTTTAAAAGCTTAAGTCTTTTTTCTTTTACCAGGCCCTCAATTACGATTACATTAGAGTAGCTACCCTCTGAGGTAAATTGTTGCTTTCTAATCATTTGAGAAAAAACCTTTGTCACCCTTTGTTTACTTTTAAGACAATGCTCTTTTGTACACTTCATTCATCCTTACATGTTACATTTTCTTTATCAATCAATAACTCAAACAAGATTCTATAATTGAAAATGAGGTTCTGCATGTCTATATGTTCTTGTTACCTTTTTCCTTTTACATTTGGGAATTATTGGAAAGAGTGTGTTTCACTCTATATGAAAACATGAGAAAAGGATCACCTGTATGTATGTATTTTAAATCAAATGTGAATGTGATGAATAAAAACACAGATGAGTCATATTAGACAGGGCTTTTAGAATCTGTAGTTTTACACTGTAAAAAAAAAAAATGGAATTTTACTATTACTGTGACTTTTGATGTTTGTTCCTCTACTTATGTAAAATTTGTCAGCACTCATTACTGTCCTTACTGTAACAAAACACTACAAAGTTTCTTCTGGTCTTGGGCTCTTTTATGTATACCACACAGGCAGGTTGTCAAGTCATTTAAAGGCTCAGATGCTGCAGCGCTTTCACTCTCAGTGGTTATAACCACCACAACACATTATCAGTGCAGGAATACTATTTTCAGCTCCTCGACTCTCGGTTAACATGCACACATTCTGATAGCAAGCTCATGCTGAGCCGGGTTTGACTCAAATGGTTTCCCTTTGAAGTGTTTCCCGAGACGCTAACATGGAGACCGTGAGATAGTTGCTGTAGTTGTTATTAGATGGCTGCTTTAAAAGGGGCATTCCAAAGAAAACTGCCCCATTACTGCTATTTTCCCCTTCACGTTTCCCAACAACAAATGGTGTCAAAGCTGAAGCACCAAACGTGACTTACAGAAAACAACGTCATGTTTCCATCACGTTGAAGTGTGACAGATTAAAAGCTAAAATAAAACCCATGCACATTGTTTTAGGATTTGTGTTTTGATGTTAGCAATACAGTCATTTCAGGGAACAGGGGTGGCTTCAAAAAGATAAACTTCACTATCTCAATATCTCATGAAGTCATTGTCACTAATTCTCTTTTTCATCAGTACATCATTTTATATCTATTATGAATATTTGTTGCAATGTGTTTGAGTATGTGTTGTCATCAGATTTCATTCATAGAATTTTATCAGTTCACTTTTAACCTTGTGCAACATTAACATAGACAGAAAATCCATACTAGCTTTAGGGCATAGCCCAGTAGCCCTCTGGCAATACAACACAAATGCACATGTTGGTGTGTTGAGTGTGATGGAACAGGATACTGGTGAGATAGATGTCACTTGTGAGGCAGGACTGCACAACTCTGTTAAGTTGTCAGCGCAACAAATGTTTTCTCTGTTACAATGCTTTCTTGTTAAACTGTGCTCTACCTGATATAGAGTTGCATGTACTGTATTAACATTGAAATTTTTAAATCTTTACCCACCCAACGTAACAATCCTATAGGTTTTATGTTATGGCAACCAGATTTTATTATTTCTGCTTTGTCTCTGAGAAATTTTCTTTTAGTCATGTGGCTCAAAAAGTACTACAATACCCATGAGCCTCAGCTACCGTTGCTACAAAAATGAAGCCAGTGGGAGGCACATATCGGAGCTATAGATGTCGTTGCACTTGAGAATAAAACATGATACCAAACAGTTGCTGAATTCATTCAAATGATTTATTAGATTGATGCCAATTTTGTTTTCAGTTTTCTCAACACATAATCTGTAGTTTTCGCCGGCTGTTAGAGGAGCATGCAACAGGAATTTTTAGCTCAGTGGTTGGAGGTTTCTTGCTGAAATGCACCTTGGGAGTCAGCGTTAACGTCTACCTCAAAGTTTTTATGTACACAGGCTTGTACCTTTGACTTTTTATCAAAGAATCAGATATTTTGTGAGTATAGAATAGATCTTAATTTCTCTTCAGCTCACCAAACACCAGGAAAACACAAAAAAGACCCAGAATCCAAACCATTTAACCAAAAGTCCCTTGTTGTTTTTGTACTTGTGTGTTTGTTTGGTTGCTTCAGGATCACGCTCCACCAACGCACTGCTCTCATGTAAATGAATGAGGAGTCTGTGCTTTGTCACGCAGGGCTGTTGTCAGTCTGAACACAGCCTTAGGGTAAACCCTGTGTTTACAATAAGTGGAATTTACCCTGATAACATCCTCCTATATGTTGAACCTTGTTTATGTGACTGAGTTTGTTACATGCTGCTGAGAAAACTCCTCCATGTTGTAACTATGACACATGCAGACCTCTGATGGGAAGATGTTATAGTAGGGATCAGAGAGTCAAAAGTCCCGTCTGTCTTTTAGCTTAGCTCTTCTTAAATATATGTATCACCTGTCTGTAGAGAAGTGTACTGCTGGTTATGTTTGGCTGATGAACATGCTTGTGGTGGCTTAAAACGGATTTTAAGTTAAGTCAGTTGTAATATCTGGTTAGAAAACCATTACTGTGTTGTTATCAACAAATTTCAAGCAATAACATTTTTGATATTAATTAATTTGATCAGTGAGCCTCCTACGTCACTGGGTATTTCATTAGAAAAAAGAAACTTGAGCTTCAACTTGAGTTTTTTTTTTGACAACCACATTATTAAAATGGTAAATAAATGCAAGAAATAACAGATGTGACTAGTGACTAATTCTTCACAGGACAGCATAGCTTCTGGCGAGCACACAATGATGGAAATAAGCCAGGTGAGGTACAGGAAAGGGCAAGGAAGGCGAGCCTGTTAAAGTAATACAGGGGGATTGATACATTTTGGGAACAGATGATAAGAAGGATGGGAAAGGGAAGATCTGAGGTCTGTAATGAAGGTGAGAGAACGGAAGGAGTACATGATGGGGGGGGGGTAAAGGTAAGAAAGGGGTGAGAATGAGGACAAAACTACGGAGTTGGAGTGCCTGGATAGTGGGAGGGTCGCAGGGCAGTCAGAAAGGATGAGGGAGGAGAGGAGAAGGGAGGGAGAGAGGAAAGGCGTGGTGGGATAGACAGAGGGAAGGGAAGAAGGATCGGAGTGGTGAGACAGGTCGACTGACTCACTCACATTCCTGTCGTCCAGATTTATAGCGGCTCGGGGTCCTGAAACAGGCCCGGAGCCGCGGCCAAATTACAGTCATCTACAGCATTCCTCTGCTGCAAACACAGGTTAGCAGCCGGGCCACGCTAAGTGCTAGGTGCTGCCTGTTGACAAATGACTTCCTTTGAAGGGCACAAAGAGAGAGACAGAGAGAGGCTGGATATTTACTGTGTGAGGGCAGAGAGTCAAACTGTCTGTGTTTCTTTTGTTGGAAAACATTTTTGCTAAAAGTAGAGATGAAGAATGTTTGTTTGTGTGCATGTTTGGGTGCGTGTCTGCCCGTGTTTTTTTGAAATGTGGCTTTCACTGTGGCCCTTAACTTGTGTAAAATAAACCAGTGAAACCAACCGGTTACATCAGCTCCCAGTGGAGGGTCCTACACACTCTTACACACACTTTAACACAAGCACACACTCAGACACACACTGTGACAGGATGGCAATCTGAGTGTGTGACCTGTGTAAAGGGGATCTTTGTGTTTAATACCAGGTTCCCAGACTACTAATAGTGCTAATTGCCCTGTGGACTCAGGGCCGGGGCCAGGGGCCACTGACCTGACCTTGTGTGTGTGTGTGTCTGTGTGTGTGTGTGTGTGTGTGTGTGTGTGTTTATAAGACTAAAATATAGAGAAATTGCAATATTCATCAAATGTGTGTGTACCTATTAAATCATTAGCCACAATATGCAACAGAGAAAAGAGAGAGATTATAATGCTGTTAATGTGTGTGTGTGTGTGTGTGTGTGTGTGTGTGTGTGTGTGTGTGTGTGTGTGTGCGTGTGTGTGTGTGTGTGTGTGTGTGTGTGTGTCCTCCAGGCGTTCACAGGCACCAGTCCCAGGACCTCTCAGGGTACTACTCCCTCCCTCCAGGCGGTGTTGGCCAGATCACTCCCTCCATGGGCTGGTGAGTCTCCCTCACACACACACACACACACCATACACACACACACAGAGACACAGCTGTACATGCTGTGAGTCACACAGTCCTTTGTGTACTTGTGATGACCTTGCACTAAGTCACATTCATTCCCTAACACACCACAAAGGAACACACCATGCCAGTTGAAACTATTAGTCAATTAATCAATTATTCAACAGGGAGAAAATGAATCTGCAACTACTGTGATAACTTATGAATCATTTGAATCTCCACTGGTTCTTGCCTCTAAGTGTGAAGATTTTACTGATAATAAACCAAATATCTTCAACTATTAGGCAGAAAAAACAAGCAATTGAAAGGTGTCACTTTGGGAAACTGTGATGTGCATTTCTTCCTCACTTTTTGACAAAAAGTGATGTTTCACATTAATGTTGAGCATATTTGAGTAACAGTACATTAAAACGGAAGGGCATGTAGGATTACAGCAGTTGTAACTTCCTGCAAAGTGCAGTTTTCTTTCTGAAATTCGTCAAACATCACCAAGACAAAAACTGCACAGCAGTTGCACTGTGTTTTAAAAATGTATTAACTGATGATACAGATAATAAAAAGCACTCATCTTGACAGTTGAAGAAAACTATCTCTTTGAGGCACAAACAATTAAATGATCAACATGTAAATAATCTGCAACAATTTTTATAACAATCCAGGAATCATATTTGTAATTTTTCAAGAAGGAATTGCACCAGAATTTACTTGTCCGAGCTTCTCAGATGAGAATATTTGCTCCTTTTCTTTGTGTTTGAAAATAGTGAACTGAATATCTCAGAGTTTCTGACAGTCAGTCTGACCAGACAAGGAATTTGAATGCATGGGAAATTTTCAACATTTCATGATACTTAATCATTTAATCTATGGATTGGTAAAATAATAGATAATGAAAGCAATCATTAGTCACAGCCCCACAAGCATGCTTCTCACCATTAACCTGTAACTAATGGAACTGCTAACATCTAACGAAGCTGTAATTTTCCTCTGTCAGTCTTATCAAACACCATCATCATCTTCATTTCATCGTATTACATAAATACACACAAACACACTTACACACACTCTGACCTAGATCAATGGTGCATACATCACTGTCTCACCTGGTGTCGGAGTGGCTAACCCAATGCCCCGCTGTCATGGAAACCACCTCCTTTGATCCTCAGTGTTTTGCACTTCAACCTGTGGCCTCTGGTCTAAACAAAAGGAATGTGGACAACTGCGAAATTAAGACAAAACATTTAACTAAAATAGTGTTTCCTAGTTACACAAACTTAACTAAACAGTGTTCTAGACTCTGTATCTTTCTTGCTACAATCAAGTCCTCTAAGTCAATGTTTATACCGACTAAAATCAAATTATCAATAAAGAGACCTAATGGGATTTGAAGCTGGATGTTGCTGCCAATAAATCATCTCACAGAGGAGAAAACAGTGAGCACAAGTCATGCAATATCGTGGTCTTGCTTACAATAATACCTTCACATCTAAATGTGCACTTTTCCGTTTCCCTCAAGATGTGGTGGATTCTGGGAAATGTTGGCAGCCCTTTGGTAGATTCTGGCCTTCAGTAAACTCACAAAAAAAACCCAAAACTGTATATCAAAAAGTGTGTGTTTTTGGCTTTTGTCCAATGCACTGTGTTTTGGTTTATAGTAGCAGAAGTCCTCTCGGCCTATGTCTTGATTTTCACAATAGTTCCCTGTGGGGACAGAGCAGCAGCAGCCGCAGTGGTGGTGTAGAAAACTCTGCAGTGTGGGACGCCTAAAACGGCCACATCTGCTCCACATTCAGTTCTTTTTCATTTAGGCTTTCCATCATTTTGGAGTCGATTGTGAGCGCACAATGTCATGCTGGTTGATTGTGAACTTCTAATGTCAAGACTTCCATTGATTTATGGATCAACACAAATCCATTTATTATAACCTACTGTATCTGTCTGTGCCTGGACAAAATCCCCTGCAGGAACAGTTAAAGGCTTACATCAAATGTCACGGAGATTTGGAACAGAGGCTTAAAACTTTGCGTGTCCATTTGCTTACATGTGTGTTTATGTCTGTTTTTTTTTTTTTAATATTTCTGTAGGACGAGCTGTCTGTCCCCAGACAATTTTCAAGTCTGTGATTTACAGACATTTTATCTTTTTCAGACAAGAACACTTCACTGTGGATTTCCACAAGTATTATTAACAGCTAATCTCCTTTAACCCAGATTATCTGCTTGTTTTGGCGCCTTTGAGAGCACTTCTTTGTTGAAGGAAGAGGAGGAGGGGATAACATAGAGAATGAGTGGTTAAATGTCAAACTGTTGTTTTCTGTTGTTTTGGTGCTTAGCCTGGTCTCACATTCTGTTCCTTCATGACCACCTCCACGTGTCCCCCGCGGCCTGTCAGCTGGTCGGTTAGTTGCCTCGGACCAGGACGGTATCAGGAATCATTTGAGATCGGTTCTGTTGTTCGAAAAAGACATGGCTTTGTAGTGTCAGATGCTGCGGTGGGAGCATGAGTCTCACAAACATGTTGCATTATTAAATTCTGTGTGTAATGAGGGCTGAAGGGGGATGTTATAAAGCTCTTTAACTTCTATTGTAGATAGCAGAGTGTTGGACTGGAAGGTGGAGTGAAAAGCTGGCCGTCGTAGAGAGGGGAGATGCTATATTGTTTAAATATGGGGATGGCACATTTTCATACACACTATCCTGGAAAGCATTCATAGTGTCGCACTCAGTTGTTCACATGAGAAGTGACAGAAGTACTTGTGTAATGAATGGGGAATCCAAAACCTGCCTTTTTTTTTCACCTCCACCCAACTGGCCAGTCATCATGAGCAGCTGAAATTGAAAGTATGTGGGAGGTTAAGAGATTGAATGTACCTGAAATGTCTTTTGAGAGAGATTGAATTCAATTACTGTCCAGAAGAAAGAAAGTAAAGCCAAAAATCAAATTTTTTTGCTCATTTTTGTTCTCCAAAGTCGGAAAATTGTGCTTATTTGTCCCTTAAATTCATACCTGAAGAACGAGAGAGCAACCAGATAGAAGCAGGTATTTTTGAGGCATGCGATGTCAGTACAAATAGTTAATGCTGTCATTCACTGACATTTTCAAACTCACAGGGATGAATTACTTTGTTGTCACATGTAGTAAAACTTTAACAAAGGAAATGGACAAGACGCTGAGCAGCACAACAGAGCCGTCTGCCTAGCTTCTCACTTCATTCCCAGCATACCTCTGTGCAGCCATGCCTTTCACATGGGAGGTTTTTTTTCCTGTTTGAGCGTGGCGTCACCATCAGGAGCTGCTGTCTGCAAAGGTTTAGATGTTGTTGATGTGTATGATGTTGGTATAGAGTGCTGTTGACCAAAAACACATCACACTGATTGATGGATTTATATGGGGTCCGGCTGTTTAGCTTGACCTGCCTTTATCTGAACAACACTTGACCTGTCTTGTAGTGTGACCTCGGTTAAAACTGGATTATAACATAATGGTCCTCCAAGGGCTGGATCTCTTCCCAGCCTAATGGCCTGCGCTGCTGGGCTTTACTGTACGTGCAGCGCTGCCTCCTGTGGCTAAAAGATGGATACAGTTGAGAGGATGAGGAGGAGATGAGATGTGGAAGTGTGTGTGATGGTGATGATATTAATGATTGTAGGGGTAGTTTAAATGCTGGATGTGGATTGGGTTGCATACGTTGAAACATAAGGATGAATAAGTTGAAAGGCGGGGGGATGGTTGTGTTGGCTCTCAGGAGGTAGAAGTGTGGTCTTCTACATATCAAAGGGTCTTGCTTACATCCCAACTCCACCCTCGACCCCCAACGGTGTGTGAGCGTGTGTGTGTGCCTCTGCTCCCGGTAAGCCGAGTATTGACACACAGCTGTCAAGAGAGCTGATCCAGACTCTCTATGGGGGATCGGCGTGCATCACAGCGGCACAGAAGTGGCTAAAAAAAAAAATCAAAGAAACATCAAACCACAAGGTTTCACTCACTTTACTGGTTCTGAAGTTTATTTTTATTTATTTATGTTTGCACATAAAAATGCATCAGTGTAAAAGATATATGCACAGAAATGTTAAACACACATGAACATAAAGATAAAAAAAGAAATTAACTGAGAGGTGGGAAGCTGAAGGCCTCTCTTTAAGCTTAAAGTTCAAAAGAAACATAGATTGTATTTATTATAAATAATAAGAAACTGAACATAAATTACAGGACAAAAAAAATACAAAAATGGGAAGAAAATTGCCTAATTCCTTCATTGTAACTGGGAAGAAACCAATGTTTAATATGCTTTCAAAATAGAAATGAAGATGATGAATGTTGGACAGTTTGAACTCTGTAGTGTTATTTTAGAGTGTTCTTTCATTGTCTTTGAATTTTATGAAACTGAATTTAAATTAATATTTTAGTCTAATTTAATTGACCTACAGGGATAAACATCCCTACAGGGGCTCAACAAACATTTACCTGTAAAGCTAAAAGGCACCAACTGTTGCCGTCTCTCCCCTCTGCTGTGCTGTGGCAGGCAGAGCCAGCCAGTCTATCCTGGCCTGTCCCCCTGTGGATTCAGGCAACCCTACTCCTCCAACCTCCCCAGCGCCTCCTCCTACTCCAGGTACCGTAGCTGGCTGGTTGGACCAGCCCAGAAAGGAAAAAAAAAAACAGAATCAAGCAACGCTCTGCATCATCGACTCCTGTTTACAGCACATTTAAAATGCCTGAGCAGGAGCTTTCCATTCACCATGGCAAACCCCTGCTCACTCCCTCCGTGAGCTTCCATTGGGCAGCTGCTGTAAAAGTCATTTTAGAGCCAGTGTGCAGTAAACAGGACGAGTTCAATGTTTCGCCAAAAAACAAGCCGAGTCAAGGCAAACTGAGCCGAGCCGAGCCAAGCTAACCACTGCTGCAGAATACAAAAGGCTGACATGCACACACGCACGCACACGGAAACACACACACACTTTTCCACCTTGAGTACCATCAGAGCATTAACTGCTTTTATCTTGCTATAGTTGGCTTTTATCTCTTTTTGATTCTTTGTTATTTATGCTCCTGATCTATAACACTCACTAATAAAACTAAATTTAAAAAGCTAATGTTCTGTCAGATTTTGTGATGACATCCAATGCAGCAGGTTTGTTTTTCTCCCAGGGAGACACAGGAGCACTGAACCTATTAGTGTGAGCCTTGTGACCCCGCTGTGAGTTTGATGTTTAGTCGTAGTCAGTATTTGCTTAAGACTCATTTGAACCTGAACCACAGTTTAATGTTCTCTGTATACACACACTGGATTTAAGTGCTCGGTGCTCGCAAAAGACAGATGCTTTCTCAGCTGCGTCGCTTTGCCTGTCTGTCAGGTTGTCTGCTGCGTTTCAAGCCACAAGGCCTCAATCCTGTGGAGTTAACCATCCTGTCACACGGTCTGTTTTAGACCTGCACTGTGCCACATAGGTGGGGAGTTTTTTAAACTGCAATTGTGTAAAAGCTCAGATGATCACAAAAACTTAAAAGCCAATCTGAATTTATGAATTCAAATGGAGAAAATGGTTAATTACCATCCAACCTTTAACCTGAGCTCCAAGGGGAAATGCATCCTCTGTATTCACAATAAACATTACTTGCAAGTCTTTATCTATGCAAGTAGTTCATTATATATTTCTTTTACTAATGCCTTAATTTGTCAAGTGCAGTAAACCCCACCTATAAGCTGCTGCTCCACGCAGATTAAAACAAACACTATGAATATTTTTTTACTTATTATTTGACCCGACGCTCACTCGACTGCTGCCAGCAGCTGATGCTTACTGCTGCTTTCCTGTCAGTCACACTCTACTTTGCTCCACTTATCTCTAGAGCATTTGAAGGTGCTGAAAGAAACTTGTTTTTTTGGGGGGGGTTTTTTAACTCATAAGAACATCTACTGATACTTTTATCTGAGAAACTTAAGGAACAAATATCTGGAAGTAAAATCCCACAAATTGTGTCTTTTAGACTAAATGAATAGATTTGGATCATACTCACTACTTCACTCAAGGCAGTGTTTCAAGATATGAGGGACTACTGTCCTTGTCTCCCCACATCTCAGTAAGGCAAGGACGCCCTCTAGTGATTACAAATGCATATATCTTTATCTTATCCTATCTTACTGAATTAAGAAACCAAATCACACGTTTTAAGATCCATAGCAAGACAAAAATCCCACCTCACACGACACATTGACATAACATCACTTTCAGCACCAAGATGATCTTTTCATGCTTTCAGGCGCATTGCTTATCAAAACTCTTGCTCTTGCTTTCAGACACCGTCTTCTCTGCCCCATGATTCAACGTATTTCTCTGAGCTGACTAAGACTTTTTTTTTTTTTTTGTCACTCTCTATCTCTTGTCTATCTGTCTCCCTCCACCCTTCTCTCTTCTTCCTCTGTCTTTCTTTTTTTTCCCCCTCCACCAGGTTCCCTCACTCTCTGATGTTGGGCCCATCAGGCATGCATCCTACAGGGATCCCCCACCCAGCCATAGTGCCCCCTACAGGCAAACAGGAGCACGACCAGTATGACAGGGGCATGTACGTGTAAGTATTGTTCATGTTTCTTACTAATTTTCCCTTAACCTTTAGTTAATGTTTTGAGATATTAATTCTGCTATCAATATGGAAAAAATAAAACTTTTAACATATGGTATGGTATGTTGCTTTAGACTTTAAATGGAAAATAACTTACAAAAGGACAATTAAATGAATGAAATTATGGATAAAAAAGAGTACATGTATTTTCATTAACCCTAACCCATTTTCCTCTTTTATTTAAGTAGCTTTAAGTTATTCATGCTGTCTGACAGTTAATCCTGTGATGCTGTATAAGAGCCACTGTTGGTGAGAATAGAGCTGTAAAACTAGATTTAAAAAGAACATCATAATATTTCAAGATAAAAGTTGCAATACTTAGAAAATAAATCTGTAATATTTTGAGAAAAAAAATTAATAAATCTTATACATTTAACCATTAAGTGCCACATTATCAGAGGTTTTAGCACTACTGAAGTGAAAGGAAAACAATTACATGATTATGAGTCACATGTGTTTTGTAGCAGTGACTAGAGCACAGTGGGGGACCTGGCTTCCTCCAGACAGAGATCAAAACAAGTTTGCTTAAGGATTAAAGCACAGTGAGCGTCTAAAAAATCTGTGAAAGGTAGCCAGAATGAACTGTTGTACTAGTTTGCTGTTTATTGAGTGAAAATAAATGCTCTGCTCAAATCCTGCTAATACCCCAAGGCCAAAAAAAAAGGAAAGAAAAATGTGCTAAAGCTAAAGAATGCACAAGTAATATAATAATGTGATACTTGTGTTCTTAAAATAACTTTTTTTTCTCAAAATATTCTAAGTTGAAATCTCAGTTTGTTTTTGTTTCCAACAGTGGCCCTTATACTGTTGCATGTTCCAAATCTTCACTGAAGATGATGATGTTTACACAGTGTAAAATATTCAAACCCACTTTTTATGGATACACGGATGATTTATGATGTCTGTGTTGTCTTATGTTCACTGTAGCGTACTTCTTGAATACACAAATGGCCAAAACAGAATATGACTCTCTCTCCATCTTTGCTCTCAAATTCCTTCAACCCCCCACCCCCACCTCACCCAACATCAGGAAGCAGCAGGTGGAGCCCAAGCGGGAGAAGGAGCCCAAGAAGCCGGTCATCAAGAAACCCCTGAACGCCTTCATGCTCTACATGAAGGAGATGAGGGCGAAGGTCATCGCAGAGTGCACGTTAAAGGAGAGCGCCGCCATCAACCAGATTCTGGGGCGGAGGGTGAGCAATGCACGCGCATGCACACACACACACGCGCACACACACACACACACACACAACTACATGGAGACAAATCCTGTTTCCAGGTCAGTCTGTAATTTCACACATGAGGAACATAAGAGGACTGTAGTAATGTGAACTCTGTTTCCCTCACATACTGGTGCTACTGAGATTATACAACCCAGACTGGTGCTACTGGGATCCTGAAGAATGATATATGTGATAAAAATTTGTGGAACAAATTATTACTGGCAGTCTATGTTGCTACATCTATATTTTCTTTTAAATGTCAGCCTTTTTAAACTTGCCTTCTTTAACTGACGTGTATGACTTTTACATCTCCTGATCAATATTTAATTATTTTATTCAGAGACTGCATAGTTTAGAAGATTGTAAAGGTGAGGGGTGATTAGATATAAGATTTTCTCTCACTGTTTGTTGTTGTCTTTTTTTTGTGTTTGTGTGTTTGTGTGTCTCCAGTGGCATGCGCTGACCCGGGAAGAGCAGGCCAAGTACTACGAGTTGGCCAGGAAAGAGAGACAACTCCACATGCAGCTCTACCCGACCTGGTCTGCCAGGGACAACTATGTAAGGGCTTCCTGTTCTGCTCTTCCTCCTCCTCCTCCTCCTCCTCCTCCTCCTCCTCCTCCTCACTGAATGTTTTCTTTTGCCATTAAAACTCCTGGTACTACATCAGTGTAATCCCCAAGAGGAAAAAAAAAAAAACATGTTATCATTTTCCCGAGCTCATTGTAAAAACAAAACCAGGAAGATGTAAAAGTTTTAGGACGAGGAGGAACTCTGACTAAATGTGATGCAAAATTGTGGAAAAGTCATGAATTTTACTTGGGTTGTCATGGGAACCATATCTAGAGTAAAGAAGTCATTTGGTTGCTATGGTTACAACATTGAACTTGTTGCAAATAGAGATGTAATTAGAGTAGAATAGTGTAATGATTTGTTTTTTAAAATATGCGTAGTGTTTTTGATATGTAATATGTTGTATTGCCTCGCAATTATTAGGTAGTGAAAACGTTTGCTTTTAAATTATTAAATTAGAGTAAAGCTATTAGATTATAAACATAATCCATTAAACCTACTTTTCATTACATTGTTGACCTATATCTCATTAAAGAGAAAAATGTCCCTCAAATAATTAAAAAGAAATACATTAACTTGTTCAACTACAGTGTTTGTGCTGCAAATTTTTTTTTTTTTTTTTAATTTCTGAAGTTCATAAAAGCAAATTGAGAGAGCTATTTCTACTGTGGCAGTTTATGACATTGTCCAGTATTTATTAAATGAGTAGCGACACACTCACTCACTCATCAAAAGCTGAGTTTGACATTAAACAATTCCCAGAAGCAGAGAGCTAAATCTGAGAAAATTATCAAATGTGAGAAGCTCTGGAAAGAAACAAAAACCAGGAACCGGTCCAACCTCTCGACTTCTTTTCTCTCTGCTTTGATTCCCTGTAAATTAAGGCAAGACGCAAAAACAGAACAGGATAAGTTCAATAAAACAAATCTGGGTTTGATAATATTTGTTGTCCTTACCTCAGAGCTGGAAGAAATTATTTACTTCACTTACTGGCTACTGCCTCTACAACCTGCATGAATATTGGCTCCCAGACATGTCAGTCAAAAGTCATAAAAAAAAAATAACGACACACTTTTATGGCATGGATTTATTAAATAAGTTTCCAAGAATCCAGGGGTAAAATCAAACCTGTGTGGTGCATGCATTTTAGTCTAATGTTTTGGGGATGTGCTGTGTCTGGGCTGCTGTGTGCCTCTCACTTGTCAGTTTGCTGTTGAACTCTTGCAGGAGGCGGGCCTTAGCGGGGTCGCAGGGGAAAAGAGTAAAGCTGATTGGGTAGGGACACGTCTTATGGTGGATTTATGCCTCTGTGGTGGGAAAAAATGAGTATGTGAAGAGCTGCATGAAAGGGGTTGTGGGTACTCCTGTGCAAAGTTTGCATGCACCTTCCAAAAACCTTAATGACTCACACACATCAGCCACACAAACAACACACAGGCAACAGCAGCTGCAGAAAGAAAGTCCCATTGGTCAGTTATGGATCCATGTCACTACGTCTTGCACGTTGGTTACGAGTGTGACACACAGAGGTATAAATCAACCCGTTTTGCTTAACTAACAGAGAGCAGGGCCGCATGGCTGGCCTCACTGCCTCACTGCCTTGGTTTTTCATTTACTTATTATTTTATTTTTTATGGGAACATCTTCAAAAGTAGAGCACCTCACTTTTATCAGTACAGCTAGACAATAAATGACACATGGTGTGATTAAAACAGAAACATAACCTTTTGACACAGCACTTAGCAGTGATGTAGCAGTCATTTGCTTTCATGATAATTTCAGGTTGAAGTAAATCTCTAAATGTGTGAAGAAAATGTGTCTTAATCAGCTAAATCATCTTTTAATTGTGGCACAAATTGCTTTTTAGTCAGTTAGATATCTGGCAGAGAGGTAACCTGTTTCCGCTTTTCTCTGCTGTACTATCTTGTTTCTCTTTAGCTGACCAAGCTGAACTCTATACACAGGCATGTATGGCACACGGGGTATGGTGACACTTTGCTTGGGCTGTGGTTTATAACATGTTCATAATGTCTGAAGGAAGTGCATCATGTCACAAACATGGACACTGATTCAGTTCTAGTGTCACTCTTCACTTGTTGTTTTTTGGGGGTTTTTTTCAATCTCATGTTTATGCCGTAGCGGATGGAGGGCACATTGGCAGTTTTTTTAGCACATATTTCAAAATAAAAGTCCCAACCCTGTCTGGGGAGAATGCAGCTGAAAAAAAAACATCCTTATATTCTGTCCAGAATATGTTTATAAACCAGAGCTTAAGTAAACTGTGACCATAGGTGGAGAAGCTACTGCTGAATGCATTGAGCTTTGAGCACAGCATAACACTGTGGACTCTGTCTGCTTAGTTCATAGGGGTAAATGTTGTGGCTTAGTACAGTGTTTACTCATGCTGTATTTAACTAAAGGGGCAACAGGCAGGCAACTTTATACTGCATGTTTAACCTTTTTCTGATGATAATGACAGGAATGCATTACGCTTTATAACCTGTGATCATTCTGCAATAGTTCAGCAGCAGCCAAAACGAACCAGTTATTCATGAATGCAAAAAGGCATAGACGTAGAGCAGCAGGGTCTGCTGGGCACATATGTATAGACTCGAGCTGTGTGATGACGACATATATACAAGCATGCAGGTCCTCTAGCTTGTGTTTAAAATATTGTCTGCTGTATTTCATGAAACCTCCTCACTCCCCATCACCTCTGCGGTTAAAAGAAAAAAAACAACAAAAGAACAGAACAGTCACTGGACCTACTAGCAAAACAGGAAGTGAAGAAGTTCCACATATCACCCCCACAGCTGTAGAGGGTCTCTCCTCCAACTCACTCAAACTTAAAAAAAAAAAAAAAAAAAAAAAAAACCTACATGTAGTGTATGCACACACGGACACACACACATACACACATACACACACACACACACACACACACACACACATACACACACACACACACACACACACACACACATACACACACACACACACACACACACACACACATACGCCCACAGACATAAAGCTTCAGAGAGGTGCAGTTGCAAGAGGAGTTGTTGTAACCACATAGACACAATGCTGACAGCGAGCTGAGGAGGGCAGACATTTGACGCGTAGGCGGTAGATTTCTGTACCCACATCCTTCATCATCTCACCCAAATATGAGGCCTCACTTCACCATCACTGGATCTGTGTGAACAGCTCTGATGTTTATCTCAACAGCTACGCAGTACAATCAGCCCAGAGACGATGAAATATGAATACAAATAGAAGACTTCTGGTTATAAGTTAATCTTTAAAATGCCTTTTAAAGCTGATTTTTTTTTTTTTTTTTTTTTTTTTTTTTTTTGGGAGGGGGTCTCGGATCTTTTCAACAGTTGAGCACAGGTTTTTGCATGAATGGTGTTTACAAAGACCGTAGTAATGCAAAGTATTTTCTTTTGTTTGTTTTTCTTTATCTTTCTTGCTTTTTTCTTGCCTTTGTAAAGCACTGAAGATGGTTGCCTGTTTTCTGCTCTTCACTTTGCACTTTTGCAATAGATTTAAATGTTACATAAGAAACCTCGGCTTTTCATACAGTGCAGATTCTTGTTTGGGACCAGGTCTCACTCTCAAAGCCAGATCTCACATTAGGGTAGCAAACAAACATATTAAGCTAATGAGGAAATCCAGAAATTCTTTATGGAGGTCAAACCAGACACATCAATTCATAAAGACAGGACAGAACAGCAGTACAGTCCCATTATCTTTGCTAATGACTGGCTGATCAACTAATCAAAGTGTGTTATCCTGTTTGAGACAAACCAGAGAAACTGGGTGTATCAGCCACAGTCAAAAATCTGCTCATAGTTTTCAGCCCTGATGGTGAATTTATAACAATTCAAGTCCTTTCATCAGCTAAGCCAAACTCATGTCTCTGTGGGATGTTTTTTTTTTTTTTTCAACAGGGCAAGAAGAAGAGGAGAAAAAGGGAGAAGCAACAGGACTCCAACACAGGTAAACACCCAATGGTAAAACATTTAATCTCTCCCTTTAGGTCAGATACCGTGACAACATGTTTCAGTTGGAGGAAAACAAATAGCCAGTGTCAACTCTGCAGTATTTGAGAGAATTCAGTTAAGGTTGAAGTTGCGTTGGCGCAGTGTAGTGTTGGTGTCTTTGAGGCAGGATGTGTCTCTAACGTCAAACCACCCACCCACTCTGTTTTCCACGTAACCTGAATTACAATCATTTTAATCCCCGGTGCAAAAAACTTTGTCCTTATCTCAGCTGGTTCACGTTTGAAATGTCAGTCAGACGTCAAAGCAGTTTTCCCTTTTCCTTCACCACATCAAGTCAATCAAAAATATTTTCTCATCTATTATCTTAAACCAATGAAGTGATGAAAACACACTTCCTCAATAGATCACATACTGTACATGTGTGTTCATGCCAACACTGTGGCAGTAACTCGCATTAGCACCAAGCATCCAAAGTGAGAGAATAAGAGCTGTTAGTAGTAGTTCCAAAGTTAAATAATGCAAATCTTAAATGGCATGCAGGCCAACTCGGGTGTTAAGAGATTTGTAGAAAAATATAGATGATGGTAGTTAGTTAGTATGGTCAGCTGATGAATGAGCCACTGATGGTGAAGCATGAATGACTGCAAGTATGATTCGACTGGACTGACGCTGTGCAGCAAGATTTTCGACTAAACGTCTGGTGTGAATCCTAAAACTTATCATGGGCATCATCAAGTCCAGCTCCAGCATCAAACAGAGACCGTAGGAATGTGTATTTCTGGATTACCTCCAGAGATTAAGCAGTTTATGACTGTTCTGTGTCCAGTGACTGAAAACCGTAATAAAATCCTGTACTAACAGATGCCACAGCATGGCTGCCCTCTCTGAGACTCTCTGTATCTCTCTGTATGCCTTAACCGCCTGTTTCCAGGATGACTGACATATTTGTTTCACTTAGTTGTTTGTGTGTGTGTGTGTGTGTGTGTGTGTGTGTGTGCAGTGTGCGTGTGTGTGTGTGTGTGTGTGTGTGTGTGTGTGTGTGTGTGTGTGTGTGTGTGTGTGTGTGTGTGTGTGTGTGTGTGTGTGTCTGTGTGTGTGTGTGTTGGGTGGTTATTCTGGTGGTTGTTGATGTTTTGCTGTGCTGTAACCAGCTACTAACAGTTTGACTTGACGGCTCTCTCTGAACGGACTGCCCTGTCAGTGCTTTTCCCCGCTCTGACAAGCTCTTGTGTCTCTCTCTTTCTTTACCTCTCTTCCCTCTGTCCTTCGCCCTCTAACCTTCTTCTTTTTCTGCTCCACTCTGTTTTTCTTTTTTTCCTCCCTCTTGTTTTGCGCATGCTGTGTATTGTGCTCAGACCCGGGCTCTCCTAAGAAATGCCGGGCTCGCTTCGGCCTCAACCAACAAACGGACTGGTGCGGTCCTTGCAGGTGTGTACCAAACATCCACACCCCCACCCACTCCATCGCACCGCACTGCTGCCATTCCAGCCAACTCCTCATCTCTCCTCCCATCTAACCATCTGTTCATCGGAGCATCATTTCTGTCTGATGCAGTTATTCAAACGTTTCTCAAAGGCAGAGCTTCTCTGGAGGTAGAAATGATGTCCTCAATGTTATCACCTTCACAAGCTCTCATGATTTATTTTCCTCCTCTCTTACCCTTTGGCCTTTTTGTTAGTCTTGCATTAGTTACTGAATTAAGTTACCAAGCTCCACCCACCAAGCCAATGAGATTATGTCTGCCTCGAGACCAGCTCCACCTCCGAAAAATGTTTGAAAACCCAAACTGAGCTCTGCATGCATGTCTGTCACTAACTTGCTGCTCGGCAAAATCATTAGATCCATAAATATGTAGTTATATAGTAAAAAAATAAATACACTGTATAAACATTTTCACAGTTGAAAAAGTATCCAAACCTACTCCTCCAGCACAGTCTACTTCTCTGCTGATTTTGACTGGAATATCACTTTAAGTCAGTAACATAACGCTCCACATTATAAAGGGTTAGTGTCAGGATTACTGTTCCAGGATCTGTAATCTTTTCAGGTCCAAAAACGTATCCTTTGACTCTAAATGAGGCGTCACAGGTGAAGAAAAACACTTGACCCAGATTCTCATCTTCTCCCATTTCATCGTTATGCCGATGTCTCGTCAAAGGTCAAAAGTGGTTTGGATTCTGCAGCCTGTTACAATGCATTGCATCATGTAGGCCCTGTAAAGTTAATGTGGTTAAAGGGGGAATACCACTCAATAAAAAAGCTGTCAGAAAGTGTTCGCAGAGCAGTTACCTGGCGCTCAAAAAACATACCTGGTACATGTTAGAGGAGGGATACCAATAAGTAACGCTGAGCTTTTGAACTTTTGTACTTTTTTATTACAGAACTGAAATCAACACTGCACAGAAATGAGGCATTTCATTTTGTTCCTGGCAACTCCACGTGTTCTGACAGATTTATGAATTCGCACAAGTTCGAATCGTAAAATGCCCGAAAGTCAGACACTCCTAGATGGAAAAAAAAACATTCAAATTGTTATTGCAACTTGTATATTCAGGCTACAGTTAGAGTTCTTGTAGGATTTTGAAAAACATCCGACACAAAGCCATTACAATGATAGAACTTATATCTTGTTGGGTAGCATAAGCACATAAGCATCAGCAGTTGATACCAATTTTCACCCAGGCTGTAAATGCCCAAACTTGTACAAAATATTTCAACCCTAACATTTAAGTTATTGTAGCTAAAGCCCTTAATCAGATGCAAATGTTGCTGAGTTGAATAAATTAGATGATGCTGGGAACTTGTTTGAAAATAAAGCTGGGAATTTCCCAGTTTGTAAGCACAGGGTTTGTCTCAGTCAGCAGCAGTAATATTTTTGAAATACTTAGTGTTATAATAGTAAAACAGGAAACTTGGTTTACAAATATTAGTATTAATTTAGTGATCCAGCACCCTGGCAGCGCAAGGGGATTTATTCATCTGCCAGTGCTGTGCATCTAAACAACACTGATCCAAGTGGGGTTTTTATTTTCCCTTTTCTCAAAAATTGTAACAATTTCAGTTCTCTTTCTCTGTAATAAAGCAGACACATGGTAACAGTACAATATAAATCATCAGATGGGGGGGGGGGGCTGTCACCACCTCATACTGCTCTGGTTTAGTCACACCAGGATTTACAGTAGACGAAAGCCGACGGCTTCACTGCAGGAGTCAGGAATCTGTGTGGTTCTGCAGAAAACGCTTCTACCACAACAACACTGTAGCAACCCCGTCGTCTTCCCCACCATCACGTCATGGAAACCTGAGTGTGTGTGTGTGCGCGCGCGTGCGTGTGTGCATGTGTGTGTGCATGTGTGTGTTTCGGTTTGAGAGAACAAAGGGGGGTGAATGTGGTTAGAGCAAATCCTTATCACCACAGCTCAACGCACATACACACTCCCTGCAGCTTTGCATTTTGACAGCGTTCTCATGCCCATCTGCTTTCAACTTTCTCCATTCATGCGATGTGGTAATGGGCGCCTTTTGATGGTGAACTCTAACATTTAGAAATCACTTTCTGTTGCACTCTTCCTCCCGCTCTCCCTCTTTCTCTGTCTAAATATGGCCTAGCGCCTTTCCTTGCGGTTAAACCTGGTGACTCATATCATATTCTGGTAATGATCATGGGATCCTGTTAACTGCTTTGATGCTGCACTCAGTGGTACACAAGTCTGCTTTTGAATATAACACCTCACTAAGCACATCACTTCACTGCTGCTGTATATTAGGTAGATGCAGTGAGTTTGGTGCAGACCAGGACGATAGTGTACATGGGTGATTAATACTACCTTATAATGTTTCAGGACACTGTGTCAACACCATGTGGTCGGGAGGTCACTAATAGTGCTAAATAAAAACAATAACACTTGTATAGCATATTAATTATATTAATTGGAAAGATGAGTGGTATTCCCTGCTCTCAAATAATAAACTGTTTATCATTACACAGTTGCATTAACCAACACAAATATAAATTCCCTTCGCTTCTTGCTGAGAGTTTGATGAAAGGATCAATATCATTATTAGTCTTTGCTTTAACTATGGAGCTAGAGCCTGGAGACAGTTAGCTTAGCATAAACATTGTAAGCAGAGGGAAGCAGCTAGCCTGACTCTCTCTCCAAAATAAAAAGAAGTGCACTCATTTAACTTCGTTCTTATGAATATTTTCTAAAAATAATCAGGAGCCAAGAATTTAATACATTTTCCAAAATGGATTTGTGCTGTTTTAGACATGTCATTCATATACAGATGTACATGGAGTGACACTAATACTTTTCTGTTGTTCATTATGATCATGCAGTGTGTGTCCATCTGTTCATTGACCTCAGTGTGAGTGATGCATCTTCACTGAAGCCTGCTGACATTTACCATCCACACTTTATTCACAGATAACTCTCTCTGACTGTTCCTAGGAGGAAAAAGAAGTGCATTCGCTACCTTCAAGGAGGAGGCTGCCCCAGCCCAACTTCTTCAGATTTAAGTGCTATAGACTCTCCCCCCTCCTCTTCCCCCGCCCGCCACCCTCTCTACCAGCACCAGCGCCAGCGCCCCCACTCCCCGGGCTGCTCCCCACCGCCCACCTCCCCGTCAACACGCCTTCCCTTGTCTCCGCCAACGCACACACGCTCGCACACACGCTTGCCCCTGGAGCAGTCTGCTGGCAAGCGCAGTGACTTCCAGCAGCCTCCAACAACCAAACACACCCACACACACCTGGAACTGTCCGGCAAGCAGACGCACAGCTCGACGACTGCGCTGTCTGCTGCCAAGGCCGCGGGACTTTCTCTCAAAGTGCTAACAGAGACTCAGTGATCCAGTCGGCACACATCCCTGACCCTGTTCAGCTCAGCATCCTCCAGAGCCATGAAGATCACCTTCCTCCACCTGCCTTCATTCTCACATTCATCTATACCTTTTGTCAGATTTAAAGAGAGAGAGTGACCGAGGTAGGAAGGACGGTGGGGCCATCCTTCAGTCCATGGTGACAGCCGGCATTGGCCCATAGTGAGATATTAGCTGTGTCTTAGTTGAGAGGCTGATTTCTCCAGAGTCTGCGTTTCAAGGCCAAGTACATCATTGACAGGTCAACAGGGCTTAGTCCTTCTCGAAGCCTCCTTCACCCGTTCGGTTCTTTCATCAAGCATTCAGGAAATCCTTGGCAACCTGAAAGACATCATGTTAACCAGACATGTGGTTCACCAGTCACTGGGAGATATAACACATTATCTAAACAAATGCAAGAGGCTGTTTTAAAATGCAAAAATAATCTATTTATTATATGTACAAAAAGAAACATACCAGCTTCTCCCTATGAGAGTGACTTCTCAGTAATGAACTTTGAAATTATTGATTTGGAAGTTGACCAAGACCAACTGAATACTCCTGAGTATTTGCCCATGAGGCTGACCTGTCCCATTTGGAAGAGAAGGCAAAGACTTAGCCTGGAGGGTCCCGCCCCTGAATTGGTGACTGAAACCCTGCCAGCTCCAGACCACACAACTCGAGTTGTTCGGAGGCAGTCCTGCGCTGAAGGCAGAAATCATCTGGAGCCTAAAACAAGTGGTTGTTTGGCTCCATCTGCTGCAGTTAAACTCTGCTAAAGTCATTAGTTTTACCTTAAGGACTGCTGTGCCTCTGAGAAGTAATTTTACAAATAAGTCATTAGCACCTTCGCGCCTTTTTCTGTTTTTTTGTTTGTTTGTTTTACAGCTGACCCTGTGCTTTGACCTCCATGACAATCATAAAATGTTTTGCAAATGAGCTCTTAATCAAATGAACCACATCAACAGGCCTGGAAAAAAAGAAGAAAAAAAGGGCCAGATTTACCTTGCAGAGAGAAGTCAAGCAGCAAGAGCTAACTTGGCATCAACGCGAGAGAGAGGGTTGTTGCACAAGACTCACAGTGTTGTTACATACGTGTTTTCCCCCACATGTGGGGGCCCATAGTGACAAAGGAGAAGCCACCGCCTTTGCCTCTTTTACATATCACCATTACAGCTATCACTGACATACTACCCATCATCCATCACTATTACTGAGACCAAACCGTTAATCCATGAGAGGGGAGCAGAGACCAACAGCCAGCCAGCCTGACCAGCAGAACCTCAGCTCTGAAGAGGGACAGAGTCACTCTTGTAGCTGCCATTTTGTTAACTGTTTGTTTCATTACCTGTCCAAACATTTTGATAAATACCTGTGCAGCTCCTTTGACAGAAAAAAATTGATTTAAAGCAGGAAAAAAAAAAAAGTCTCAGATTCACGAGAGAATTCCCTCTTTCAGTTACAGTATTTCTTTTAGGCACTTTCACTGTCAGTCTCTTGCTTTATCAACTCTTACATTTTTGTTCTGTTTTCTCCTAATTTGAGGTATTTGTGTATAAATCTGTTTTTTTTTTTTTTTTTTAAGGTCAGATATTTTTGCTGGTGAGGAAACCCTCGAAGACAAGTCTGTTTTCCTTTGACTGAACATTTTGCAGCTCCATTAACTAATCTGAGACCAAATGGGTACTATTATATTGCATTGTGTTGTAAAGTTTTATAAATGTTGCAATTCCCTATTATAATTAAACTTTTATATGTTTTTATGTAAAAAAAAAAAAAAAAAGTGAAATGACTAAAAAAAAAAAAAAAACTTCTAGTTTCGACCATTTCTTAAAGCAATACATTTTGTGTTTGTCCTCTTGTGCAGAGTTTTACTTTTGGTCAAGTGTTACTGCAGCAGCGTTCAAATGATATCTTATGTTCTCAATCTGTGCATGTTCCAACTTTAATGTAACAAGAAGACATTTTGACTAAAAAGGCTTTAATTTACTGTTCTGCTTGAAGCTTCAGACTCGGCTTACAACTCTGTGGACAAACTGTAGGCTGAGCTTTTGTACAGCAAAACTGTTTTCCTCCAGCAGAGAGAGCTCTTGTGCTAGAAATAGCTTGTTAATTTGAGGTCGTTCACATCAGTAGTGGGAACGCCTCAAACATGTCTTTTGTATTTTTTATGCCTTGGACGCCTCTGATGTATTACTTGTTTGTTTGTTTTTTTTTTGGTTGATGTATTAAAAGTGTTTTGAATATCTTGTCCATGTCTACTGTAATTAAAACAAGGTTATTTCGAGAATTATTATAGTGGGACATAAGTTTAAGGCCTCGCTCCTCAGCCCCTAGTACCTTCAAAACAAATAACAGACACCGACCTTTTTATATGTTTTATTTACTCCTTCAGTATATGTGTAACCATCCAAAAAGCCAGCTTATCTGAGAAGTTTCCTATTCAATACAACATGAATTAGAAATGAGTTACCCAACACTGTGTGACGACACACACGTACTTCAAGTCCAGAGGACATTAAGCGAAAAAAAACAAACATCTTTTCCACCTCAAACCTCACTTTTCCTTTTAACACCTCATCCCTCTCTTAACATGGTTTCACAGAACAAATGCATTTACTGGGCAAAAATAATATTCACCCTTTCATTTCCATTGTCAAAAAAGCCATTTTATTTAATCAATTAACCTAAAAGAAAACAAACATGTCCAGTAAAAAAGACAACCATAGCAATTAATAATAGGGGAAATATGAAAGGACTGTCTTCTAATCTTTAAGGGTACAAAGCCATGAAACCAGGACTTTTTATTTTATGTGAATACACAACATGAGAGTTTGGAAACAGAAAAGAGCTTCTTTACTTAAATTAATAAACACCACACAGGCAAGTTAAAATGGTCATGCTATTGGTATACAGAAATTGAGGAAAGGGGATGTGGGCATGTGGCTCTAAATATACTAAATGTAAATATTAACAAGTATGAACAACGCCAGTGCAACCAGTTAGCAGGGACAATCCTTTTCAGTGTGGTAGTGTTGGCAGGATCTTCCCCTTTACTTCTCTTCACACCACTGGTTCTCTTTGCGTACCTGTGGATGAGAGGAGCGACAAGAAAGAGTCAACTCTCAAAGCTGTGATTCCTCACACAGGTTAGAAAGGTTTGATTTTATTTATGTTTTCTTTTCTTTTCCTTTTTTTAATTTATCTTGAGCAACATTCCAAAGCAATCCAGTTCTCATGAGTTACACCGCCGATCAAAAGTTTTAGCACACCACTTGAACCCCTTGGAGCTGATTTAGCATGAACTGTACAGAAGGTGAAAGCAAAGCAACCTGCATGTGCAAAACATTTGTGTGAATTTCTGCAACAGTGTTGGGACAAACTTTCTGAACTATATTTGAATGCCATTGTATACAGAACACCTCTAGTGTGTTCGTCTGCTGAGTGGATTAAATGTAGGATTTAAGATTCCATGATTTCTTTATTAATTAAACAGACATTTCAATTTCAACAACAGGGAAAAGAAATCAGGTGTTCTAATACTTTTGACCGGTAGAGTATATAAGACCTTTTCTGACAGACAGATGATGGATGGAATAACTACCTGGGCTTCCTCCTCCTCTGTGAAATCATTTTTGATGTTGAAAGTCTTCCTGATCTCCTCTGGGGTTTTGCCTTTGATCATGTTGGCCACCGTCTTGCAAGTGACATCTAACAGGCCTTTGATGTCCAAATAGTTGGCAGCCTAAACAGAGAAGACAACAGTGAGATGAAGAGGAGCAGAGGGAGGTGGCAGGGAGAGGAAGGCTATAAAAGGACGGAATGACACCTTAGACTTTCAAGGGAAATATCAACACTTACAGGTTTATTAACCAACCAACCGAGAGCATTTTGTTTTGGATTCACGTTAGGCACCAAAGTAAAGAGACCTAGCTAAGGAAAAACATTAATGCAGGTGTAAATGCACACAGAATGCACTGTGATCAGAATGCGATTGGATCGGTCAGACCATATCAGTAGGAGGAGGTTGTGATCAGAAGAAAGTTGAAAGGTGCTAAGGCTAAGCAAGCCCAGGAAAAGCTACAAGTAGTAGTAGTGTGAAAGTCTTCCTTTGCAAAAAGATATTCAAAAATGAATGTTGTCATCCATAATATTCATTCCCTTGACCTGGGACACAGCAGCCCTGTCAAATAATTGCATATTCAGATTCAATCACACACGGGCAGAATCGAGCTAATGAGAAAGATCCTGTAGATCAGATGTCATTATCCACTTACAGTATCCAGATCACGTATTAAAACCAAGTCTGAGCAGAGCCTACGGCTTATCACAACACAACGCAGCTGTTTATGCCACTATGATAACTCTAGTGTGTTATCATGACAACAATCATTTTATCCTTTGCCACGCAAAACCATGAGGTAAACAGTAGCAATAGTAATCTTCCAGGATTGTATGCGTTCATGTTTTAAAAAACAAAAAAACAGATAACCAGACAAAAACAGCACTTGATTGAGATCACTAAACAAAACATCACCTCCTGCTGTGTTCCAGTGAACTCACATCCTGTCATAACCTCTTGAACTTTACATACACCATTCAACAGCCACCGACAACGCTTTGCATTCATTTTCATTTTCATATGACCCGGGAGCACCTGCACCTCTGCCTCTAAAGCACCTGTGCATGTAAACACATTCAAACAGCCGGGGGGGAGGTGCTGTTTAAATCCACTCAAGTGACAGACACCACGACTTGTGTTTCACTTCCTGGAAGCCCATAGCTATGGCAACACCTATTTCCTAATCTCTGCTTGGGTTACCTTTCACGTGTTCTGCCTGATTTTCCTTCACATGTTGCCCACAGAAAACTCCCTGTTGTTTTTCCACTTAAAAACAGTCCTTTCAAATCCCTGCCTCTTCTGCGGCAGTCACCCAAACCACCCATCTCCCAGCTGTTGCTAAGCAACTTTTATATCTCTGTTAACAAAATGAAAACTCAGTACTTTGCCACAGTAGTGAGTTAAAAAAAACAGACTGCAGCAAAGGAGGGATCACAAAAGAAATGCACACAAGTAGATGACAAAAGCTGGCACTAAAGCAGAGGAGAATGTCACAGTAAAGGTGATTCACAGTATATCAAATCAGGATTTCAGTGGCTTTTCATGAGTTCCTGATTTTCTGATGCTTCCTCACTGTCAACAACTTAAGGGGATAACTTGGGATCAGTTAGCTCCAAAGAGCGAGTTCAAGCAAGGCAGGGTTTTTGTTCGCCCACTGAAACTAATTCTGCTACAATCACCCTGGATTAACATTTTTGAAAAGCTCTGGTTCAAAACTGGAACACTAGTGAACAGACAGAAACGAGCAATATCCTCACTGTAGAGATGTTCTGGTTTGTCTTTGTGTTCCACAGAGCGCTCGGGCTTGTTGAATATAAAATGTTATTAAACAGAACACTGTTTAGTGTCTCCGCAGATTGATGACATGACATTATGTGGAAAGGTTTTTGCGCCAAATTAAACCCACATCACAAACAGAATGAGTGAAATGAACATTGACATTTTTATATAAACAGAATTCTCACATAGTACTGGTTAAGAAACGTTGTTCAAATGTAATGGTTAAGGTTAGTGTCGGCTTCCTGGGAATTAATGTACAGAGCATTCAGAGAGTCTTCATAACCATTGATTTTTTTTTTTCACATTTTGTTATGTTGCAGGCTTATGCTAAAACTGACAAAAAAAATTCCTTCATCATCTGCACTCAATACCCCATAATTAAAGTGAAAACAGAATTTTACAAATGTTCTCAAATTTATTAAAAAAAAAGGGAAAAAACAGAAGTATCACATAAGTATTCAGTCCCTTTGCTATGACACTTATGCTGTAAAATTTAGCTCAGGTGCCTCCCATTTATCTTGATCACATGTTTCTACACCTTGATTGGATCCACCTGTGGTAAATTCAATTGATTGTACATGATTTGGAAAGGCACACACCCATCTATATACAGATTGTGTGGTGGCACAGAGGAAACCACACATGACGCTTACAATTATTTGTCCTTCTGGAAGTTTCATCTCTACACAGGTTCTCTGGAGCTCAGCCAAGGTGGCCATCGGGATCTTGGTCATCTCTCTTACCAAGGCCCTTCTCTCTTGATCACGCAGTTTGGCAAGACAGCCAGCTTCAGGTACAGTCCAAACTTAGATTGTTCTAAACTTATCCCATTTAAGAACTACGGAGTCCACTGTGCTCTTCCTTCAACCTCATGTTTTTTGTTTGTTTTTTTTGTTTTTTTATTTTACCATAAGGCTCTCTGAACACTTCCTGAATACACTGTAGCTCAATCTAATGTAAATGTAATGTAATGCAAACTGTATTTACCAGAATGAGTTCAAACAAGGTGCCTTGGTCCACTTTAAGGAACTCCTGGTCCCACACAGGAATGTCATCTGTCCTCTTCTCCTTGTTCTCATCGTCCTCAGGAGGAGGAGGGTCATCTTTGTGATGAGTGCACCACTGAATCACCTGGGAAAAAAATGTGTGCGGGCAAACACAAACACAGGCAACTTTAATCAAGGTAAATAAATATGCACGGCATCTTTCATCTCTACATTTAAAACTGTGCACAAAAGGTTTAAATACCACACTAAAATTGTTCCTCTCATATAGTATCACTGTGCGACTTCTTTCTCTTGCTTGTTTTATTCTTTTGGTTTAGAGAAATGTGTTAGATACAAAAATTCAACGTCTCCAAATGGATTAAGAGCATTAGAATCTTAAAACCCTATTATTTAAATAACTGTATGTCTGGAATACAAGCATGAACTTGTTGAACAGACAAAGAAACAGGCCTTCAGATCCCTCTGCTCCCACAAACACGATTAGTCAGTTTACTGACAGGAACAATTTAGCAAGGCCAAGAAGGAATCAAATAGCTTGTGTTTCAGTGAGTGATAGATTAACAGTAAAAAAAAATTATAATTTTGACAATGTTTTGACAAACCACAAACACACTCAGTTGTCAGTTTATTAGTTCCAACTTGTTAAAACAAAGCTGTGTGTGTGTGTGTGTGTGTGTGTGTGTACTACTAGAAATATTATCATTATCCTGTGTTCCATTATCCTGCAGGGGTTTTCATCAGCACCACAAACTACACGCTCCAAAATGACTGAAGTTGAATCAACACCTCTCAAAACAGCTTCAACAAAAACTCATAAAAAAGACTAACAAATTGGCATGTGAGTGCAGAGTACATGGATACAAAATTCAATCTGTTTTTATAGAATTTTTGACTTAAAGCAGCATCATCTCCCCTTCATGTACAAGTCAGATGAAAAACACCCATGGCAATCACTAACTCATGCTTTTTGCTCAAGAAGGGAAAAAAACACCCAAACTACTACTGGAAGATTTATGTTGACCATACACGAGTTTTCTTTATTTGAACATATCATTTGTGAATGTAAATCATTATTGACAACACTGAATTTAACAATTCAACATGAAGGAAACATGTCTAGACATTTTTGAGCCCTCAGTGGGCAAGTTTGACAGTAACAATACTTCAACAAAACAAATCTTTTTTTTAAGTACAAGTCTGACATAGACTGTTTGTCATCATAGGTGTGTGAACATGTGTGATGTGATATGGTCTGTGTGTGTGTGTGTGTGTGTGTGTGTGTGTGTGTGTGTACTTTGTACCTTCTTGAGGATGGCAGCGTTCACATTAGGGAGGGGAACTGGGTCATCGTCTCCTTCATCATCCATTCCCAAATCTGCCAAAGAATCAATGAATGTCACATGTGAATGTCACACATCTGTCTGCACTGTATCTACCAGAAGATGTGGTGCATTTATTTAAGTAGAATGTAACCCCTAGATTAGTGCAGGGGAAAATGCAATGGACTTGAGAGTTTATGATCATTTGAAAGTTATACCTTCTAACATGGTCTTGATGGTGACAGACTGCTTGGCTATCTCAACGTCCACCTCGAAGATTTCCCCATCCGAACTCTGTAGTTTTATTGTGGGCATTATCTGTAGAGTGCAACAATTGGAATAAATAAATAAAGACAGTAAGTTGTAGCTACATTAACACATGTGTACAAACTTTGATTAGCCAACAAAATAAACTCACCCTTTACAGATGACACTAATTCTACGTCTGGTTATTGCTAACGCTACAGCTATCTAACTACTTGACAACTTGTGAGTTATCCCGGAATAAACGGTTCACATAATTAATAATTAATATCTACTGTGGTAACGATACACATGGAAGAAATGTTAACATATTCTAAGGTTACCTACGCGGGCGTTGTTATTAGCAAAATCAAATCAACAGACAAGTGGTTAGCGAGAAGCGCTACCGTTACCAACAAGCTAACCTACGATACATTTAGCTGCCTATTAACACAGGCTAACCGAGGGTAATGCTAACCAAGTAGCTGGCTTGATATCAGATACCTTTCATAACTGAAAACCCTAAAGGGGATTCCTATCATGCATGAAACACCAGAGAGTGCTGTGCGTTTTGGACAACGAAAAATAATCTGGGTTTAACAGTGAACTAACCGGGCAGCTAGCATTACCACGCACAATGCTAGCATATTAGCTTAACGTTGCGCTAGCGCCCTGCTACGTCAGTCAGGCCTCTTAGCAACCACAATCAGGCAAATAAATATGCAAACAAAATATAAAAATAATCGTTTTGATCTCAGTCTTCACAGGTGAACAAAATATAAAACGGCACATTCGATTTTACCGTTAATGTTTTAATTCAGATCCAGAGGTGAAAACTCCTCTGTAGTCAACAGCGGGGCCTGGCAGACGCGGAGGCACCGTAGAGCGGCTGGAAGTCTCTGGATCAACCTGGTGAGCCTGCCGCTCAGAGGCTGACGATCGCTTTGTCAGATGCTGGAGGGAAAGAAGGGGGGTGGCCGCATGAGAGCAGCTTTTCCTGTTTATCTAACCCCGTTTTCATTTTTTTTTTTTCAAAGCTTGACATGTGACGCACTAGTATGGGAAATGTTTTACTTATTTATGTTTATCAAATATATACACGATCAAGTTTAGAGATCAAGCAGATTGATATTGGACTATCGTTTTGTGTGATACAAAGAATGTGCTTGATGCCCAACCCTTTTCTATTTAAGCAACAGAGGACTGTTAAATAGGTCTCAGTTATTTAAATGAAACTAACTGAGAGGTTTAGAGTGTCTCTTCACCGGGAGCGCAAACAACTGGGAAAAATCTGAAACATGAAAAGGAGACACAACTAGACGCTGTTTTATACACTTACCATAAGTGTTTTATATCAAATATTAATATGAAAAGTTACTTCAGCTATCATAAATGTAGTGCCGTGAAAAGAACAATACTTCATTCTGAAATGTAGTGGATTAGAAGTGTAAAGTACTAAACATTACGCCAGTCAATTAAAGTAGACTTCAAGTACCTCAAAATTGTATTTAAGTACAGTCATTTTGTAAATGTACTTAGTTACTTTCCATCACTGTATTTGGGATACAATATATTAAAACTTGTCTTGTCCAGTTAGTTTTACAGTTTTGAAAAATAAGCTTAAAATCTGTGTGCATGATGACTGTAGTTACTGTGTTGTATAATGTAGTGATAAAGCTACCATGGAGTGGCGCTTTTTCCTCAGTGCGCATCCTTTCCAGCTGATTCTGTGGTGCCTTCAAGTACTCCTCGAAAGCTGATGTTCCCAAACTTTGAGTGCAAAAGTACCATTTAACCTATTTCTGTATGTTGCATCACTACTGCTTTTTTCATACATAACATACTAAAAATTAGTATTTTTCCCACCCCATGTTATATTGTTTTAAATGTCAAGCAGCACAGCACTTTAGCTGCAGCAGTGGACAAATGAAAGCAAGTATGCACATTAGGCATAATGTATTTCATATACTGTATGTCTGTATGACAACAAACAAACAGTAGGAAAACAGTAATATTATCCAAGCCAAAATAAATAATAAACAAATTACAAAGTAATATGTCGCACATCTTTAACTCAATGTAAATCCTGCCTTTTTTTTGGCTGGTTCATTTGTTTTACTCATATTTACATTTATTTCTGGTAGTGCTTGAAAACTATTCTGAGGTAAAGACTATAGAATCTTATAGTCTAAACTTAATAGTAAATACTTTAGCTTTTTTGAACTTTTTCTTGATAAAAGAAACAAACAGCTATCTAGTTGACAGATAGTTCAGGGTACCACTAGAGTGACACTGTCCAAGAGGAAGGCAGCCATGAGTGTGTGCAAACCTTTCCAAAACACACCCTGAACTAATTCCTTAAATGTAGCACTGCCAGCCAAACTGCGGGCCAGATGGCTGACCTACTGACTAGTTGGTGAACTGGCGGATTTCCAGGTGGTTAAATTCAAAATTAATTACAGGTCGTATGTACCTAACTACAGTTGTCATCTAATTAAGGGCAAATTTTTTCAGTATCATAAAAAGAAAACAGCACATTCACATCAAGGAGCCACCTTTGTCTTTATTATTCAAATGGTTTGGTTAATACAGACTCTGTAGTTCAGAGGGAGTCAGTGAGTTGATGTGGATGAGCACTCCATCATCTGTCAATCATATAGACCAAGCTGGGTAACTGCATAAGAAGTTTTGCTTAAAAGTTACACAGGACAAAGAAACCTTGTGTAAACCTTGCCTGATGGGGGCTTTATTTGTAATTTGTAATTTAAAAAAAAAAGAAAAAAAAAGAAAAATCAAAAAAGAAAAAAAAAAAAAAAATCTGTAGTGTGAAATCTTTTTCATCTTTTGACATATGATACATTTCTTTAGATTTACAAAAGTGCAAACAGATCATGTTCTGATCTCCTAAATATAATAAGCCATGGCATGTGGGATTCAAACAGCCGCATCTGAAGTAGCAAATTTTTGTCTTGGACCTCGGTGCCGTCAGTCAGCTACACAGGTACAGGATGAGGAATTTAAACATCACTGTTGTTGAACATAGTGGGAGGGATTTTCAATACAAGTCCTCAGGTCCTCAGCAATGAATATTGTAATGATTATGGCACACACCTTTTGGTCCATCCATAGACACACAGACATTGTTTTTGCTAAATGCTTAAATAGGTCTTTGTGTGGATATACAATGTGCACTGCTGTGTAGCCCCCCCAGTCTCCCACCCTCCCCTTCCTCATTCATGCTGTTATCGGTTGAAGGTCATATATCATGGCAATACTGGACTTGACTGTACAAGGGTCGAAGGTCAGAGTTTACAGGAAGTAGTCTGGGGTGCGACGAGTGACATGAGGCTCCCCTCTGCGAGGCGCAGGATCAAACTGCAAGCTGGGTAGAGGAGGGAATAAAAAGCAGAAAAAAACATTGGCTGTTTAGCCATTTTCATGTCATACATATTCTAAGTATAATACATGTCAGCAGTGATATTAATATTTTGCACATAATTTGCATTTAGCAAAGCCTATAGCTCTAGCTAATGTGAAAAAAATACTCTAAAGTCATGCACAGCTTCAGCTTCACCAACTCTATTTTTTTTTTTTAAATATACTTACAATGAGTATTTGAGGGTGTCATCTAGTTCCATGATAGCTGCTTGGTTGCCACAGCGGTAGCAGTAGTTGGGAGCACTAAATATTGTCACCACATTCCTCTCATGGCACCAGTTGTAACCCTGGGGGAAGCAGATGTATTATTCACTGGAGATGTATAATTCAGGAAAAAAGTGTTACTATAATGCAGATCTGAACTGCACACCATGTTCTTGAACTCAGTATGACAGAGCTAGCTGGTGTTTTGACTGTCCGCTCTTTTGCTTTCTAGAGCAGTAGGAGTGGTTCTTGACTGTAGCTGGGAAGTTTATATACTATAACAGCCACTTTACATAACTAACAATCATTCAGACGTCTGTACAAACATGCATGGTGACACAAACCTCCATAACCAGCTGGTGGGCACGGGACACCAGTGTGAGGCGGTTGGCGTGGTTGAAAGTCTCCGAGATGTCCTGACCGAAAGTGTAGCCGGCTCCTCGAGGAGAGATGCCCCAGCCACCGCGGTCGTCAGGGTCTGACCACAGCAGGTCACACATGGGACCCTGCGGAGGGCAAAGAGGAGGAGGAGGATGTTAGCAAGGGAACACTGACACAGCTCTGCTATTGATTAACTGAACAGCTACCATCTGCAAATATAGTGAATTATGGAGAGAGGAGAATATCAACACATTACTTCCTTTGTGCTTTTTATGTATTGGTCATGATCAAGTGATAACAGTTATTTTCCACCAAATCTTGTCCTTTTCCATTAAATTCTTTAGCTTTTGATATCTTTGCTTTTGAAAATTATACACACATTTAAGTATTGTCTTTACCTCATGTGGCACTTCCTGTAAACGGTCCAGTGCTCTAATGTGATCCAATGTATCTATGGACGGTGACAGGCCTCCATGAAGGCAGAAAATCTGTAAGGAGAAGAAGAAAATTTGACAAAAACATTAAATTCTATCAAAACATTAAGTCCTGTTCAGTCACTGCACAGTCTATATTTATAAATGTGAAACCAACCGACGTTTATTCTCACCTGAGAGTCTACCAAGGCAGTGAGGGGGAGGTAATCGAACAGGTCTGTGAAGTACTTCCAAACATTGGCATTACCATATTTCCTTAGGCACTCGTCATAGAAGCCATACACTTGTGTGATCTGTCTGCTCTCATGGTTCCCTCTGAGGATTGTGATGCGCTCCCGGAAGCGTACCTGAAACACGAGCAGAGATGTTTTTTTTTTTGTTTTTTTTTCTAGAAAGCCCTATCAAATTTCAGTTTTGGAATAAGTCAAATGTGTGAGGACTTTTTAAATTATTAGAATACTCACCTTAAGTGCTACTAGTAAAGTGACGGTTTCTACGGAGTAGTACCCTCTGTCCACATAGTCTCCCATAAACAAATAGTTTGTGTCTGGAGATTTCCCTCCGATTTTAAACAGCTCCATAAGGTCATGGAACTGGCCGTGCACGTCGCCACACACCGTCACAGGACATCTCACCTCCTGAACATTTGATTCCTTGGTGAGGATCTCTTTAGCCTAAAAAAAACACCAAAAAAAAAAACACACACACACATTTAACTGTGGTTCATGGATTGAAAAATAAAGAAAATTAAAAAAAAAACATTTAAAGTGAGAAATACCAAAACTCATACAACCAAACCCAAAGAAGCTTAAAGCTTCACAAAAGTCAAGATGGTCCATTTTTATAAAATATGATCATACTCATAATCCTGATGTCTATTTAGATATCAAATAATTTTTTTTATCAATAACTTGCCATTTTACTTGTATACCATTTTCTCCAATTTATGTGATGTGTTCTGCTTTACTGTGTTCTGCTAATTCAAATGCAGGAAAATCCATGTGACCCTGCACCGCAATCACATGCTCTATACACTGTAATTTTCTATCTCATTCTTTGTTCTCCATCTTTATTTCAGGAACAGACAATTTCCTGCCAGCCTCTCTGCACAATTTCCACATCGCTCTCCAGTGGGGTCTACATTAAGATGCTACACAGTGATTACAACACAACCCCCAACATCACCACCATAATCTCTCCAAGGAAATAAACCCTGGTATGTGTGTGTGTGTCTAGTTTTCTGTGGGCCTGCCTTGCAACACTTGGAAAGACAGCTCTGGTTGCACTGCAACATTTCCTAAAAATCAATTAGTGTGATGCTTCAAACGCCAAGGAGTGGAGAGTGGAGAACAGTTGCTGGTGTTTCTGGATGAAACACTTGGTTTACTCTGATTATTACTTTAAGAAGACTCAGCTCTAGTTAGGAGAGCTGTGGCAGAACAGTCAGCCACTGCATGGAAAAGTCAATCTGGACTAAAAAGAAGTGTATGACTCAGTATGTGGCCTACAGCCCTACTGTTTTTAGAGGAAACACTTGGTTACTGTTGTCAGCTGATTCAATGCAAACGTGGGGACACTCACACACTGATGGAACACTCAAAATATTTAGAGGATTTTCTTCCGTGGGTCAGCTGATGCGGGATAAAAATAGGCTAGAGGTCATCATTTGGCTTTGTTTAAACCACCTTTGTGTGAGAAGTGACAGATTCTCCTTTTTTTTCCTTTTTTTTTTTTTTTTTTACATATGCAGTTCTAAGCTTAGTTAGCTTTTAACTAGAGTTGCTCTGATTCTAGTATCAGAAATGCTTACGATACAGCCTAAAACACTATATGGAGAATCATTGTGTATGCCAGTCTATGCACCAATCCGATTCCACAGTCATGTATTGATAAAAATAAAAGAATTGATTTCTGGTTAATAGCAGGACGGTAGCTGTTGGCTGAGGTCACTAATAGCCAGACCACCTATTATTACATTTTGACAGTGTTTCTGTTTTAACCGGCACAGCTTTTCTAGCATCTACATTCATGTGATGCTACTCAATGCAATGAAATGAGAGCTGGTTGGAGGGATAAGATGAAGGGCATATGACAGCTACAGGCTACAACAGTTTTAAATTCTCTTTCCATATATTGTCAAGCATGAAAAGACCCAAAATGAACGCTGTAAGTGGACTACTCGATTATTATATTTAAACAGCATTTGTATAGAAATGATTGTCCCAAGCTTTTTGATCCATATAAGCTGTTGATCACTGTAACCATAATCACTATAAGCAGTCTCCACTGTTTATAAAAAAAAAAAAAAAGAAGTACTTGTTCATGTTTTACAAGGATTAAACCTGATCCAGGCCCTACAACAATTATAGCAATCATATCACATCCATGCATGGTTAGTAGTATACAGCTGTTAAAGATATTTTTTAATGCATTGGTATTGAATGGGTTCTTGGTATGAAGACTGAAAAGCGTGCACCTCCGTTTGATTTAAAAAGGAAAGCAAACATTCTGTTAATAATTTTCAATAAGCAGCTGCCTCATGATTGTGCAGCCTTTACCAGTACTGATTAAAACAAAGCTAAAAATAGGGGAAAGCTTTAAAAAGTACTAATACTAAATCTGGAGACCCACAACAACGCCTATTCCTGGAATCAGTGTAGCTTGGCAGGCCGGTCTGACTAAGGGGGTCGGTCAACTGGATGAGCTCTTTTAAGAAGCTTGGGAGCGAACAAAGCTCAGCCAGAGAGAGAAATGCTCTGAGCTGAATGATCACCAGACATGTCTGACTTCCTGAGCCGTGTGAGAGCAAAAAGAGAGACATATGGAAATGGGGAGGGCAAGGGTTAAGAATCACACCAGCTTTTTATACTCCAGCCATTTTCAAGCGTTTACTGATATGTGATTCTAGAGAAAAGGTCACTGTCCAGCCACAATAGGCAGGGGTTGTTGAGTTCTGTGTGGTTCATATAATTGTTATCACATAACAGGCTCGTTGAAAGCAACTGCCGATTTGGTTTGGGCAAGCACGTGCCTCCTTCCATCTAAATGCCTGGTGTGTTGTTAGTGGGAACATTTTGAGCAGCCACTGACGTTTCACATCGATCCATTTCAAAAAATAAAATGTGACCAGGGTGAGAGAGACAGGGAATTGACGGTGACAGAGTGCTGAAGTTGGCCTGTCACCCCCGGCAGATGGGACAGAGAGAGACAGACCCACAGTGACCAGGACAGGACTGCAGCACTGCACAATGCTGACCTATATTACAAACAGATACGTACACACCCTCCACGTGCCTATACTACCATGTGGCAGGAGGCCTTTCACGATTGGGCTCTGGGTGACAGATTGACCAAGGCTTCGAACTCTAAAGCAATTGAGTCACTAATCCAGAGAGAATATTCCACATGCCTGTATTAAAGTGGAACAGCAATATATTTTTCATCCACCCCTTTCCTCCCTTCCTAATTACTGTGAATGAGATGAGGGGAAATTAACAAATACGGGCAGAAAAAAATGCATTTTAAGTAGACCAGGTCATTCTGTCTGTGATCCTCCTTACTATTTACTGTTCTAAACCTTAAGCTGTCTTCATTAAGTATTACTTGGGTTGAATTGGAATGAGCATTACCTGAGGCATTACATGTGGCAAATATAAAAATAAAATAAAAAAAACGTTAAAAAAATGTGGTAGGTTTGGATAGTTAATCACGACTTTTTTTTGTCATGGTTCGTGACAACTTCAAGGACACTGTGGCTACCGAACAGTACTACTAGAGGGACATAAATATACTGTGAATTAATCCTCAAGATCTTTGTTAACATCTTGCCAGAGTGTTATTGCTGCAGTGTTGTTTGGTTTTGTTCAGCCATGAAGGCTATAACTGATTAACTGTCCAATTGGTTCTGTTTCAAACAAATCTATATTGCTTTATGAAACATTAAGATATATATCTATTTTAAATTCAGATCAGTAGACTCCCTTAGGAAAAAAAACATAATAGACAGTGGGTAGAGTGAGTAGAGTTACCCAATCGAAGACAATATAATTTAAAATGCCATCTCTTCCCCCCAATTCATTAGGACATCCTCTAAAATTTACTTTGCCAGTGTATGACTCTATATGACTCTGTAATTTCTTTTTAATTTATTTCTGTGAAGTTTTTATCCTCTTAATTCTCCACCTAATCAAGAGACTTTTTCATCTTTAATGAAAACCCCACATATGTAAATAAATAAACCTCATTGTTGCTGTTGTAGTCAGAGGTTCCAGTTACAAGTTGACATCATAATCAATATCTATCACCTGCACCTTATTGTAAAAATATCTTGTAAATAGCCTAAAATGCCTTTTCATTTCATGATCATGTAACAAAACATTGCAAGAAAAACAGGACAGTAAACGAAAAATAAAAACAGAGTTAAGTTATAGTGGATTAAATATTACATAAACCTAATGCAATGTGACCTGCTTCTTCTGTCACCAGGGCAACATCTTCATAACTCACTATTTAAGCTTGGATTTAGTGATAACCTCAAAACCATTTATTCACGAGGCGACGAGTCACAGCTTGTACCATGGATGACAGCCCAGTGGTGAATGAAAAGATGACGGTAGATATGACGTAAGCACCTCGCCCAAAGTACTCTGTAGCAGAACCGACCACAGAGGGGCTGTAGGGAGGGAACCTCGGCCCAGATTACAGCCCTGCCCAAGACATTAGATGCCACACAGTCAACAAACTTCTTAGTCGAGTGCTGAGAACTGAAGTCAGCGTTTTTCCCGGCTGCCGCAATATAATCCCATTAAAGTGAGATAACACAGCCAAAGGTTCTCCTGGAGACAACTTAGGGCAAATTAAGCTTGACGACTAGGCAAAACTACAACCACAAACGATGACCTCACTCAATAAGTTTATAGTGGTTAGAGGTTAAGCATCTTCCTAACAACAGCACTATAATCAGAGTGGAAATCCGCACCATGAGCAGCTAAATGATGGCAAACTGTCAGTGTTGTCAGCTTTTCTACCATGTGTGTGAGTTTTGCTGAGATGCCAACAACCTTTTAATCAGCATCAGACATTTTGACTCAAGTGTGATCACGAGGATCACCGTGTTGCTGCATACTAATTGCTAACTGCTAATTTCTCTAAGTACAATAGTGACATCAATTAGCAAACAAAGCTTTATTTACTGCCATGACAAGCTGCATCAAACTAGTTTGAACACAGACAAAGGTCATACAAAAGACTTCACTCAGTGAGCTGGCCAAATATCGCCACATGACCTAATGATTACATCACTTCAGATGATGTCATGTGATATTTATGTTTGACAATGAACTTGGGTGAAATAAGAATTTCCTCAGCTTTCATAAGGAAATTTCCTATTTACATTACTGTACCATTTTGCCTTTTATTTCTTTTCCGTGTACAGCACTTTGTAATCTCCACTTGTAGATGATTTAAACTAACACAAGACAAATGAATTGGATCCAGCCTAAATTGTCAGTAAACAATGCCTCATAAGCGTATCAAATGAGCAAAGACATAAACAGCACAGGGTTTGACCCTTAAAAGACAGAAACAATGTTTGAATGGTTATGTAACTCTCAAAAGATTTATTTTTGAATAGAGAAAAAAAAACAGGTCATGAAAAGGATATGTCTCTATCTGAAGCATATGTTGTGCATCTAATTAAATTTACTGTGTAACTGGCAAGGACATAAAACCCATTTCCAGTGAATGGAGGATTGTCTGCAGTCACCTAATTTCAACCTGTCAACCAGATCACACTATTAACTGATCAAACAGATGACATCACAACTCTGTATCCAAACAATATTTGCAAAATACATCATGAGCCTTGAGAGAGGGAAATACTGCAATGCTGACAAACTGAAAAATGTGCATCTGATTAACAGGATAAAGCTTATAGGTTTTCCCTTGTCCCTGTGCTCTGGACACCAGACAGGAACTCTGGTATGTTCTGCCTTTTTGGAGACAGCTGGAAAGAAGAAATGAAAAGACTGAGGACAGTTTGCACAGCACATCTCATTCCTCCACACCCCCATACAGCCCAAAACAGAGACAGCCGTTCTCTGAGTCACAATGAACACTGTTATCCTGAGTCATACACTCTGATCCCCTTAGCAACAAAAGCTTTGATAGTGTTAGTGATGCAACTCATAATCAATCATATCCTCTGCTATTTTTAAATCGGGGAGGATGTTGTGTAGGTACATTCTGCTGAAGATATTAAGAGAATTCACAGAGGGCGGGTGGATAAATGCAGGTAGACAGTAGTTTGGAGCAGCTGAGTTCATATACGCTGTGACAATGATAGAGCCTCAGGGTGAGGAAACCACGCAGCTTTCCTTTTTCCTCTCGACTACTTTTATGGCATCTTTGCTGCATTAGGGAGGAAACAAGAGAGCAAGAGGAAAGAAAAACAAAACATTATTTGTGTAGCTTGTTGACTGTGCTCATTTTTCCATCATATTTATAACTAATAACTGTTCAAAGGGCTCCCCAGTCAATCTGTTTTTTCTCAATCATCAAAGAAAGATTAGCAGAGCCAAATACATGCTCACAGCTTAACTAGTTTAACTTCTTGAGCTTACACAGGACTGTCACAGCATGGTCCACCACCACCACTCTGCCCCATGGAGATGGCTCACGTCCCAGTTTGGGTTCTCAACCCATGGTGAAAAACGGGGCTAAATAATGCATTTGCAAACTACTGGAACTGGCCGTATCAAAGCTGGGAGAAAAAAGAAAACAAATGCTGGGATTAACAAGCCCCTTGAGAATAGCGTGCCCTTAACCTTCAGTGACTAGCACTCCAAACATGGTAGTGGGTCTAGTTTTTGTGTCCTTTTAAGAGCTGGGAGGGATACAGCTGCAGTATAGAATGAAAAAACACTACAGGCAACTAAAAAAAAAATATGTCCAAATGTAGTCTCTGTTATCATGGTTAAATCTAACAGTAAATACGAATTTAAAGAAAACCAAGATACCAGAAAACTAAACTGTCAACCATGACTTCTAACACTGACATCCAATAATCAGAGATAGAGGTGTCAATTACTCCAGCAGTAGAAGCCTAGTAGGGTCTGCAGCATTGGTTGGATGCTTACCAACCAAAGGAGGAGCAGAGAAAAAATATCATGGTTACTGAAAATAATGGTAATGGTTTGTATTCAGTTTGTAGTTTGCATGAATAACTATAGAAGTTAAATAAAATAAAGTTCACCATCAAAGCCAAGATGTGCTGACAACAACTCTGTGACCACACAAATGGCAGTGTCCGAGGGAAAGTCTAGAAGTCTAATAAGCTGTCTGTTTGGTGGTCCACTTTGTTTTCTGTCACAAAGTTATTTTTATTACACTTGTCTCTGTGCTTCCCTGAGTAAATGACACATGGAACAATGTCCTGGAAAAGTGACCCAGAAAATGGAGCAGAGGTATAATAAGGGGTCAGAGGTGAGATTTGCCACACACGTGATATATTTTTGGCCAATGAAGTCATGTTTTAAATTTGATAATTGACTACTTTATGGCCTAGTAAACACATCTGCCTCACTAATTATTGGCTTTACAAGTAAATGAGAAGCTAGATGAGGAACAAGGGGTCAGAGGTTTATTGCAACTTTCTTGACAACCTGTAAGAAATGCAGAGTAATCATACATAACAGATGAAAAATTACTGAATGGTACTGTAACTGTACAGTAAAGGCCAACCTGCCTCTCCATGGCTTCAATTTTTTTTTCCAATAAGTGCTTCTTTGCTGGAAACTTTCACTTATCTTTTTTATTTTCAACCACGTACCTGTTTACATACATACAACATGAGGTATAGTTACAGTACTAAGTAAGCAGTCGGTCATTACACGTACAACGTTAAGCGGAGTTTTACTGCCACATCTAGCTAAAAGAGATGCTACAGGTCAGTGACAGCCTGAATGAGGAGGGCTGTAGATGTGGTATGTGACTTGAATTCACAGTATGGCTGACTGTCTGGCTGGTAAACCCTCAGTAAGCGACGACATGTGCTTGTAATTCACAATTTCCAGACATTTCTAACAGGCAACAGCCCAAATGCCCTAAAAAGAGAAGGCTAGCCGCTCATAATGATTGTCAAATATACGCACAGCGCAGTGAAATGTACACTATAGACGCCATTTTAAGAATGTCTGGAAGGCGGCGGTAAGGAGACAGAAGACGTTGACAGTTATTTAGGGTTGGGGGGGGGGGGGGGGGGTCATTTTTGTTTTTAAATATCTTACCTTTTCACATAGTGTTTTCACTTGTCCCTCCGACAGCTGCTTGCATTCGTTGAGCTGCTCGATCCACTGATCAATTTCTTTTGTAAACGCCTTTTCGTCCATTTCTGTGTGTTTTTCGGGGTCGCCGCAGTTTTGTTTGCCGAAACCTTAGTTTACTTCGTTGAGGACACGACTGCCTCGGATGTTCTTCTCTTTTCCGGAGCTTACAAAACGGCCACAGAAGGTGCTAATTGCTCTCTTATTAGAAGAGGCATGGACCTCTGGCTGCCAGATCGCTATGATTTGACTGAATTGAAACTGAAGAGAGGGAGGGAGAGACGTCAGTTTGTGATCCACCCTAGAATTGAGTTTGTGTCGAGTTACCCCGCAATAAAACGTCATACTTCCGGTTTGTAGTTTCTTAATAAAAGCATTACCGCGCACTGTGATTAAAAAGGCCCCAAAATGAACGATTAAATAGACCCTCCAGACATGTTTGAAGATGTATAAAATGCTTTGAATCATTTTCTTTTAGGGTTGAAAAAAGATCCAGAATCCACATAATACCTGAAAAATGCAGGTACTGCACTTATTTCATTATTGACATATTGACATCAGTTTCCTCAGCAGTAGCTAGAGTAAGCCCTGCTTACTTTGCTGGTCTATCAGCGGCGAAAATAATTTGTTTGTTTGTTTTTTTATTTGTTTTTCTTCTTACTCTCTCTCTCTTTAACCTAGAGATTAATCATTGTATGTTTGTTGAATACTATTGCAAAATTGTAAGTCTATAATGGTTTGAGGAGGAAATGAGCTGATTCTTTAGAGGTTTTAGATTTTTTAAAACATCTTTCAAATAAATTTCTGTATACAGAATGAGAAAATATGCTAAAATACCTTAATTAAAACTTTTTGTAGCAAAATTTACCGCCCAGTGGGAAAGACGTTACATCCGGTTTAAATGGTTGATTGTGTTCAGCTTGACGTAATATCAGAGCGCCGCCCGACAATCGGAGACCAATGACGGCAACTCTGTCATTGGTTCAGCGAGCTGCTTCCTCTGCAGTTTTATTGGCCTGCCGTTTAATAGAGAAGTTACTAACACACACCAGAGAGAATACATCATCGCTCCCCTGGAAGCATGTTGTGAATTTTATGGTTTCGCCATGATGTCACTGTTATACACCGAGCCAAGCCCGCATTAGGTAAACAAAACAAAAGGCAACAAGTACCTGTAATACCTGATAGCCTACAATGTTTAAGATTCCGTATTCACTTCACAAATATAGGCTATGTCATTCAATCGCTACTCCACAGAGATGAACATTTCTTGTATGGTATTTTTGATGTGTAGCCTAAAGGGTGTATAGCCTACAAATAATTATTGATTCCCCAGAGAACCTATAGTCCCAAAGCCCAGTAATATTTACTCCCAGCCTGAGATTCAGTCAGTAGAGGGTTTGATAAAAATAACTAAAAAGGCCAAAACCTGTAATTGCTAACACAAACAGTCAGGTTATTCTAACAGTGTTGTCTGTTTATACAAAGCCGGATACAGTCTTTTCCTCTGTGCCACAGGCTTCCATTGTTATCCAAAAACTATTAAAAACGCTTCAGTGAGCCACATGGTTGCACTTAGTGACATGTTCCTTCATTAAAATCAATACTGAGTAGATCCCAAATACACTCTCCTGTTACTGTAAATATTCACTTGCACACAAAATCCGTGGCTCAAAATATCCCCCAGCAAGTGTTCTATTTACCACTTTTTATGTATTTGCTAAAAACAAACAAACAAAATGAAAGTATGTGATAGTCCCTTCTCTACATAGGGACCAACAGGCAGACAGCAATCGACAGGCTAGAGAAGATGGAAAATATTAAGAGGCGGACTAACACACTGTCAGTTTTGCTTTTTTCATGGGATTTGTGGAGACAAAACTATGGGATAACATCAGCCGTATCATAGGCGTATGTTCATTACATCGAAGCTTTCTGGTTTGAACTGGTTTAAATGTAGCGGCAAATGTTCCAAGGCATTTTCACACATCAGTGACTCTGTGATTTGACTCATTTTGACCATTTGATCTTATAGTGAGAAAGCTGTTACGCTGTTATCACATCATGTGATCACATCAAGGCAGGCCTTTCCTTGAATATAAAAGTGCTATCAGTGGAGAACTGAAAATCGTTTGCTCAATAAGAAACACACCTCCTTAAAATCTCAGTTAAACTGTCAATGTAACAAACCAACATCATTTTAAATGAGCATTCAGAATGAGACAGTTTTATCAGACAGAGCTTTGGTTAACATGTAAAAGCCTTTTTGTCAGCAGTTTGTCTTTATCTTTCCAGTGTAAGAGATTCCCTCCAGCCTCAGACTGTGATTCAGTGATTCAGAGCCTTTTTTTTTCTTCACCAACCTCCTCCAGGGGAAATAAAGATACTGACAATAATTTCCCTTTGTCTGGACTCTGTAATGCCAACAGGATACACATGTCTGAAGCTGTAAAGGGAGTATCACAGGTACAGTCTGTTCCCTGCGGAAAATATTTTGTTCCTTAGCTCAGCATGTTGTGTGCCCTGCCCTTACAAGTTACCATTACTTTACATTGGGAATGAGTCTCACATGAATAATCCACAGTAGGATGGCACCAGTTTGATTAATACGTGAGAATATTAATAACTATCCTCTTCACCTTCAAAATCACAGAACAGAGAGGCAAATCTGTGACATAATCCATAATCTACTTGCTGTGCAGGGGACTGACATTAGGAGACTATTTGTAAAATATTCATTTGAACTGACAGACTGAAATAAATTCCATTAACAAAATTCTGGCTGTGATTCACTGATGAAAGTTTGTTGCATGCTTTTAAAGGATTACTTTGGCATTATGCAGCTGGTTATCTTATTTTTGCATTACAGCTGGAAACTGGGGTGAACAGTGACTTCAAGGCTACAAGAAATAACCCCTCATAAAACCACAAATTGTCCTTTTTTAACACTTTGGTTCTTGTACGGATTGAAGACACAAGACATTACATGTTAGCCGGTTAACTCCTGCTGTTTCCAGTCTTTGGCTGGAGCTGTGTATTTAACAGACAGGCATGAGAGTGGTAAAATCCAAAATCCATCTGCACCCACTGTAATGCGCACATTTTCCATTTTTTATTTCTCCCGCATTGTGGAAAAAAAACAATCAAAACAAAAAAACACTAAGACTTTAAAACTGCTGATCATTCATCAGTTATTTCCCCCAAAAGTACTGAGATTCCTGTCTGTTGGAACAAAAACTGAAAGGAATTTCAAGACACATTCATTTACAATGACCTGCTCACATTTCCACAATCTCAAGCCAAACAAACGAGACATTGTTGTTCCATTATTTTTGCCTGTTTTACTTTTAGTAGATCTGTAGGGTTTCTGCTCTGTATGACCTCTGTAGTGCAGATGCAGGATAACCTGATTCTTTGTGTTAGCAACAGACCATCATAACTCAATGGGAGGGACCTGTGCCAGACACTTGTCAGGGATGCTGTAGATAGAGGTTGACAGAGGCCACAGGTGTCACTTTAAACTGAATAACAACACACCACCCAGGAAAGCAAGAATACATCAACCTGACTTTAGTTTCTTTATGTGTGTCGTGTGTGTGTGTGTGTGTGTGTGTGTGTGTGTGTGTGGGTGTGTGGGTGGTGTGTGTGTGTGTGTGTGAAAGGTTGACACAAACCCAGCTACAATACAATATTCCTGGGTCCATTCGGCCCACCGTTCAAAATGCAAACCTCTGTCTCTGCCACAAAAAGACAGCACACATCAAACAAGAGCGGTGATCAAAGGCCGAATCTGCTCTTCCTTTCAGGGCCGCTCGCTGACGCACTGAGACACAAGTATCACATTAATTTATAATCATGCATGTCTTAAATGAAACCTGTTAGGTTTCCTTTGTAAACACGATGAAACACGAGGCAAGATGAAAGAGGGTGAAAAATGGAGGAGGCAATATGCTCAAATTAAACAGGGGTGGTTTTTCATGTTTCACTGCTGGCACCGACCCAAGACAGACACTTTTACTGATTATTTACAGGAAAGTGCTCTTATCTTCATTTACAACCATCAAGCACTAGGTCAAAAAGACAATTACCTTCAAAACAGTTTTGTTATCATAAACACAGTTCTCTTGCAGATTGCATCAGTGAGGGTGGGTGTTGTCCCGCTGAAATCATCAAGCATTTTTGGTTCAGCTCTATTTTAAAAAAGCAGCAGTCAAATAGTCCCACATAGGGTGTGTGTGTGTGCTGTAATGACGCATCTCTCAATAAGTTCTCTAGTTAAAAAAAAACAAAAAAACAAAACCAGATTAAAATGTGCCAGGCAGAACCACTGCACTGTGGTTATTCTGTTTTTCCTGATTGAGCCTCTCCTGCAACAACAAACCATCTAATCATCCACATTTTCGAGAGCGCTCTCCTCATGATTGAAAATCCCCGTTTGCACGTTCACAGTGAAAACAAGCAACCATTTTCTGCTTTGCACAGACTTGAAACAAAGGCATCAGCTGCATCCTTGAAGAAAGAAAGAAAAAAAAACCCAACCAGTATCTCCCTCTGGATCATGGTAATCAGTTTCAGATCAGTCGTTTCATTATCTGCATCTTCAGATGTGTTTTGTGTTCATTTTGTTAAAAACAAATTCTGGATCATGCTTATACTCCATAGCCCTCTGGCTCATGATAAGCCTGTATTTCATCAAGTATCAAGTCTCAAAAAGTGTGACCCTGTAGCCTATTTTAGATCATGATAAGCATCCTCTGGATCGTTGTTTTCCACATTAACGTTTCATCGATCACTTTGGAAACAAGCTCATCCGGCCTGTCTGTTGTTGTCACCGTGGCTTCCCCGGTGAGCCGACTGGGCACTTTTCCAACCTGGCAGACCCCAGCAGCTAAATTGCCCTACTCATGTGACCATCCTGCCTTCATTTAGTTTATCTCTTTGAGGTATTTAGCCAAAATCCTGTTGCATTTTATCTTATCTTATAGTGTCTTATCTTGTGTGGTATTTTATACTTTTAAAAACCCCAGTCTTTTTATATTTCCTTGTGTTTCTGTTATATGCTGTTTTGATGCCTTTTATGTCTTACGTTCAGCACTTGGAATTGCCTTGTTGCTGAAAGGTGCTATAGAAATAAATTTGCTTTGCCTTGCCTGGCTTTGCAATTAAAAAAAATAAAATGGTGTTGTAAAACTTTCTCCTGTGAGAAAATTTCTTTCTGGGATCTGAATTTAATTTGAAGGATGCGTCAGGGAATCATTTTAGATTATTCCATATGTGTAACAAAAGTG